AGGAGGAGGAGGAGGAGGAGGGTTGAGAACAGTCGCGACGACGTCACGCCGATACCCTTCGATTTCTCGATCCGAGACGCCGGACTCGCCGGCGGTGTTCAAGTCTTCCTTGCTCGCCAGGTCCGGCGGCAGCTGGCCGTGCGTGGCCACAAAGCGGAGGCTGCGCTCCAGCAGGCCCAGGTCCAGCGATTCCGCGCTGTCCCAGTCTTGTAGCCGTCGTTGTGTCAAGGGTGTGGTTATGATGGGGATCCTATAGTGAGCACGGGGTTTTCGGGTAAGGGTTTTTTGTGGTATTATTTTTTATATTTGCTTAGACAGAGGATGAGGGACATGGGATGTGAATGACAGGAGAAAAGTTGGAGGCCTTACTCTGCGTCTGTTTTGTAGAAATCGTCCTGGTGGAGGATGAAGAGCGTGATGGAGTGGTGGTTGGTTTCTGCGGAAGCCGGGATGTTGAAGATGGAGCGGAGGAGGCGGGCGATGGTGGTTTTGCCGGAAGAGGAGGGGCCGGACAGGCCGACTATGAGGGTCTTCGTGATACAATGATGTGTTGTCATGATAGCTGGTAAGTTTTAGGAATACAATCGAGGTCACAGATCAGATGATTAGGTCATGCTCAGTAGTTACGGGGTGGAGCGGAGCGGAGCGGAAAAACCTCCTATTCAGGTGCTGATGGCTACGCAAATCTAGAGGAACGAAGAACCTTTGTGATAGGACATTTGATTGGATGGATATGATTGATATGAGCTGAAATTGGATTACAGATTTGCGGATATCCAGACTGATGTTTTGAACATGTCGGCATGCCTCATCTTGGGCATCACCGTACCCAATGCTGATGCGCCGCCACTAACCACCCATCCTGAAAACAGTATATATGTTACAACTGAATCTCTCAGCCCAATGTATCCCCCAGAGCCGGTGCGGGCTTTCCAGAAACATGACCGTCCCCAAAAACATGGTAGATTAGATACATTCATCATGACAAAGACTCCACGCTCAAGCTGATAGAGGGTACCACCCAACACAAACGCCTGCAATGACCCTCTAGAAATCCTTCTTTGGTCCGGCTGGGGTGAATCATGCGGTTCCCTTCTGCCGCTTCCCGCCTATCCTGGGACTTGGTTTGACTTTGTTTGCCGCGCTCCCGTTCATTTCTCCACCATCATCTTCAAGCTTGATGCCACTAGCTCGTCGCCGCTTGTTCGGCACATTCGGGCTGGTGTTTGCACTGGCACCCTGGCTGCCACTTAGATTCGAGCCTTGCTGACTGTGTTGATGTACCATTGCCACTGGACCTGCCATATGCATGTGTGCTGGGCTCGGACTATGTGCTGGACCTCCAATGTGCGGTGACCCTTGTTGCGGTAGACCAAGATTTTGCAATGCCGGTGAAGCAAACTGCTCCCCGCCGTGCATGACTGGAGTCCGCTGCCCCGATACGCCGTTGGGTGCCATATTGTTGAAGTTGCCTTGCGGTATGCCCGCAGCGATGTTGTGCGCGCCCCGGGCCGTATCTTGCACTAGATTGTTCAATGCCTCGGCTGGTGTGAGATTCTCGTGGTTCTGCGAGTACTGGAAAAGCGTCTCCATCAAGGTCAAAGCTTCCGCTATCTAAACTTCATCGTTAGTAAGAAGAGCGATGTTGTCTGTGATGATCAACAAGTACCTCTAGGTTTTGCATAACACCATCGGTAATGCCGTTTTTGTTCACCATCGATCGAGGTTGCGCAACGCTGGTAGGCGGCGACGGCCGTGGTGCAGCCTTTTTCATATTCTTGTTGAGCTTTGGGCTTTTCATATCCGGTGACTCTACCGGCGTCAGGTGCAGTCGAGGAACGTACTCAACCCATTTGCTGGTGCCAATGTCGAGATACTCGATCTTTTGGTTGGCATCAAAGTTCACCTTCAGGGTGCCCGTCGAGACAACTTGGTGTTCATTGTGAAAGACATGAGTAAAGGTGCAGCGTTGGAAGAGTACGGCGTGACACCCCATCGGCAGCGGTCTTTCGATAGCTCCTTGGGGTTGCATAGTCATCGTCCGGATGCCGCTTGTAAAGTGCGAGTGATAGTAATATGCAAGCGCCGGGTAAGAAATCCGAAATCTCTTGTCGCTGCCATCAGTCATGTTTACAAGTTGATGCTGCAGGGAACCCCCAGGAGCAAAGTGCTGAGCAACGAACTCCTCCCAGAACTCAAATTTGCTAGCTTGTTGAGGTTCGGGAGAGCTGAGACGGTCGATGAAAGATAGAAGGCGCAGAACGACTTGACCACTCATGATTTTGTGTATATCAGGCTGCTGAATCATATGGTTGACCGGGGCATTTCGCTGCTGGTGCTGTTGTTGTGGCTGCTGTCGCGCCTGAGCATCTTGTTGCACTAGTTGTTGCTGTTGCTGTTGCTGCTGAGCGTGCTGCTGAACCTGTTGTTGAGCCTGTTGTTGCTGCGTATGATGCTGCTGATGCTGCTGCTGCTGTTGTTGTTGCTGCTGCTGTTGTTGCTGTTGCTGTTGTTGCTGCTGCTGTTGTTGCTGCTGCTGCTCCCGCTGCTGTTGTTGTTGTTGCTGCTGCTGCTGCTGCTCCCGCTGCTCCCTCTGCTCTCTCTGCTCCCTCTGCTGCTGGTTAGGTTGTCCGGGTTGAGGAGGCAGTTGCTGTTGCTGTTGCTGAGGTGTTTGTGTTTGAGGCTGGGATTGTGGTGTTGGCGGAGGCTGCGGTGGTTGCTGAGGAACGGGTTGTTGTGGCGGCGCTTGGGTTGCGGCGGCGCTGTGAGGACGAGCAGGAACACCTTGCGATGGTTGTGCTTGACTGGTCGCATTCTGGCTTTCTTGCATCTGCATCACCGTAGCATTTCGTTGCTGAATAACAGCTGCCTGTTGCTGGGCTAGTATTTGCTGATTGTGTACATGCTGCTGCGGCATACTCTGAGGATGTGGTTGACCTGGTTGTGCTTGGAGATGTTGTGGGTGTTGCGCCTGTTGCTGCTGTTGGTGCATCATCTGTAACTGTAATGGCATAGCTCTCATCTGAGCGATTTGGCCTGGAGTCATCTGGTGTCCGTTTGGGCCAGTCATCATTCCGCTGTGCTGTACTTGCTGCTGCTGCTGCTGCTGTTGTTGTTGATGAAGCATAGCATTCTGTTGTTGCTGCCGGTGTCTTTGCTGTTGAAGGATTTGCTGTTGTTGGAGCATATTCGGGTTCTGAAATGGCATTCCCGGGTGTTGCTGAAACATTGCTGGGGGTGGACCCAAGTGTGCCATAGCATGCGCACTCTGAGTAGGTCCGCCCGGCGCAGCTATTCCAGCTCCAGGTGGCATACCACTGACCATCGGACCTCCTTGCGTTACTTGTGGTCCTCCATGCATGCCAGGTATCATTCCCTGTGCCTGTCCGCCCATGTGGGGTTGTCCCTGCGCCATTGGATGTCCATGAGGTAGTCCTGGATGCTGTTGCATGCCACCATGAACTGGATAGGGTTGAGCCATGGCCATGGCATTTGCCATAGTAGCCTATTCTACCGTCTATGGCGCGGTATCTCACGAGGATTCCTCTATCGAGCGAGTGTTAAGAATTCTGTCACTTCTCCACAATGTCCAGGCTGTTTGTGCGCAATCTCAACAGCGGTATAACAATTGTCGAGGAGATCCCAACGAGGAAGGTGTGGCTCCGGATACTAATCGAGAGTCTTCAGAGTCGCATTCGAATCTAAAGCGTATAGTTAAGATACAATCGTGGTGATAGTACCGGCTAGCCCACATGGGTAAAAGCAGTCGATGTTTAGAGGAGGATCGATAATCCAACTAGCTCATATGTGACGATAATATTATCGTAGGTTTCACAAAAGGGTTCGACTAGACCATGGCGTACAGATGCTGGAATATTATGTAGGGAGGTAGAACGCGGTGAGGGAAGTTGAAAAGAATGACGATACTGGGGGCCAAAGATGCTTGTGAGGAAAGAGGTGCGGTTCCGAGACCAGCCAAACGATGAAGGCGAAGATTGAGGTGGGGGCAGCAGCAGAGTGCGATTATGTCCCGGGGACTCTCATCTTGATAGAGCGGGATTTTGTTTTGCGAGAAGCTGGCGTCTGCCCTTTGCTCTCGGTCACAGATCTGTTCTGCCCTGTGGATGCATGGGCGTTGGACCAGCCTTTCTTTTTCTGTGGGATCGCGATCGGAGAAGCGAGGCAAGAGACGAGGCGTATATCTGAGCATGCTGGGCACCTTCCAGCACTGTGGCTACTTAGAGTGTAGCCTGACCTTGGCGTCTGGGCCTGCGGCATTAACTGGGGCACGAGGCACCGGCACTGGCACGGGCACGGGCACGGGCACGGCCACTCCACTGCCACTGCACCCACTGGAGAAATTGTCTTTCTGAAATTGCACTCAATGCTCGAGGGTAGTCCTGGACCACATGCCGGTGTGGAACAACAATCATACCATCCTTCATGAAGGATCTAGCAGATATGCTTCGAGAGCTTGACATCTAAGCATCAGAATCATCTATGTTGTAAATCTGCTGACTCTGCAGCAGCTGCCCTTCACCTGGTAAGTCCACCTTCGCTTCTCCTTGCAAGCATCTCAAGATGACAACCATAACACAACCTTCTTCATTTGAAACTGAGTCGACCATGATTGAGACCCTCGGATCATCTTCTCCGGATGGTCTGCTACTTGCCAGTAACTTTTGTCTGACCTTTTACCTATTCAGCGAGCAATCACTTGGATTCTTTTGAGGCTACTTGCTAATCCTCTTCAGTGCTTTTAGGGTTGTAGACAAAGCCTCAACGGCCTCGAAATTGTTCAAAGCTCTCTTCGGGATGGTACGTTGACGCAGTTTACTCAAACCTTCCTCTTTGAGCCTCCTACGATGAAAACTTTTCCTACATTCGCATTTTCCATGTTAGGCCCCGTCTCGGTCATAACCCAGTCAGATTGTGGGGAGTCGTTGAGCGTATATACCTTCCTTGGATGTCGATGGAGTCACTTCGTTCCAATTGCGTCTTGAAAATTCGGATATGCTCGATGCTGACTGGCAGTCTTGGGTTAGTTAAATTGTATAATCTGCTGCATGACACGCATAAGAACAAGAGGAGCATAACAACTGGATAGAGCATCACCTGCCTACCAACAGAGAATGTACATACTCAATGCGGGCTCGTACACACTCTCCTTTAAGTTTGAATCCAGCTTGCGCTTGCGCTGCCAGGGCTATTCTACTTCGCCCGTCCTTCGCCATAGCGCCTTGCATGTGACATGATTGTAGAACTTGAAAGCACTTTTCCATGCTTTTGGGAAACTCATGCAATGAATGCGCCATCAGCCGACTCCACAATCTGCGCTGACCTCTTGGCATCAATAAACAGGTCCTCGCATTCCTCCACATCTGCAGGTTCTATGCTCTGTCTGCCATTCACCTTGGCCAATATGCTCGATGGGGTCAGTAACTGTAAGGCATAGCGTAACGACACCTTGACGCCGTGCTGAGCGACCTTCTCCAGCGCCGACTCGCTGATTGTGAGTCCTTCCGTCTTTGCTCGTAATCGGATGATGGTCTGAATCTCTGAGGGGTTGTAGGGATGTGTCGGGATGATAAGAAGTCGTGCTAATAGATCTGAGGGAACGCCATGTGCGGCTGTGATGTCTTGCGTGCCTCGGATTAATGTTGTCCCCCGATTCGAAGCGAGGATGACGATTGGGGAGATGGGTGATTCCAGAGCGCGGTTGAGGTAGGTGAAACATTCCATGTCGAGCATGTGAACCTATTGAGCGATCAGTAACCTCATCTGCAATCGAGATTTACTACCACATACCTCATCAATGAAAAGCACACCAGGGACAAGTTCTGCGATTCCCTGGTCAATATACCTACTGACCACCTTATTTATCTCGCCCCGTAGCTTGTCGGTGATTTCTGTCTTCTTCGGCTTCATCAATTGGCCCATCATGCTCATAACATCTTGTCCGCCCTGAGGCCTGGCGTTGGCAATGTCCAGATCATGCAGCGTGACATCTTGTACAATTTCTTTCTTCTTGTGTACATCACCCTTCGGTACTGGAACGTACTCTTCTGCTTCTAGATCGAACTCTGTCGCATATGCATCTGATCGACCCACTCTCTTGCAGGCTCCAGTATTTGCCTCAATGTATATCACATCACCCTGCGCCACTCTTTCCTTTTGTACTGCTTCGTAGATACTTGGGTCTAATCGCAGTTTCTTCGTGCCCTTGGCAGACTTCAAAGTGAGGATGAGATGGCTAATCGTCTTTCCGTAACCTCCTAGAGGATTCTCTGCCTCTTCGGGCACAAGCTCGGTCACTTCACCCTCGTAGACTTCTTTCATTTCGCGTACTCGAAGACCTGGATATAGTACAGCATCAGCATATGGACAATGGTTATAGCTTGGAAGCGACTGTCATACCGATAGCTCTTCGAAAATTCTCCATCAGAGCTTCCGTCTTCTTGACTTCTGTCGAATACACCTCACTGCCAACGATTGGACAGAACGGCACCTTCGTCCCCAACTCCTGCGACACAGCTAGAGCCAGGGCTGTCTTCCCGGTTCCTGGACCACCAGCTAGCAGTACAGCTCGACCGGACATCTTTTTGGCTCTGATCAGATCTACAACCACCCCACAAGCCTGACAATATATTAGCTTCAGTCAGAAGGTCCCGTTTTGGTAGACGAAATACCTCTCGTGCAGCAGTCTGGCCGACGAAGCCATTCCCCGCGGTCTCTGCTGTGCCATCAGACCGCAGTCCTAGCCCTTTAATATGTGTATGAGCAGCAGTTCTGTTTTCGCGCGAGGTGCCCTTGACTTCGCTCAAGTTCACCATGATGAGTAGTCAGAACCGGATCTGTAGAATATGTCATTAATGTCCTGAGGATCACTTCGTTTTGGCAAGACACGATTCAGTTTCCAAAACGATAGTCTACCATAGGCAAAGCAGTAAAATGTGCACCAGGATCTTGTCAATCGTCGCGAGGTCAAAGAAAAGTCGTGCCAAGGACTCTTGCGGAATTTCGAAGCTACAGTACTAGTTCTCGGAACTCGAAGCTCGAAGATCTGAGTTTCTCGCTATCAATCGTGCATCTTCACTTACCCACATCCTGTCATGCTATCAAGGGAATGATGTTGATGTTTTGATATGCCTGGGAGAATTCGCTACAATGTCCCAGGCATTTGCTACTGCGAGAACAGCTCTGGCCGGCCTCTGCTCAAGCTGTATATATCCACAACTTAAAATCATTATACCTTCCAGAGCATTTCACGCCTTCCACCCATGGCGACCTACTACCAAAATCTCCGATCTTTCTGTCAAGGACGCTCAACTCCGAAAACTTCCGCCGTGCCCTCCATATCCTTACGGACCAAGACACACATTCAAGGAAGCAGATCAAGGTCTCTACGGAGGCGCGCTCGTGCAGTCCGGCAATAAAATCTCGAAGGGCAGGAACAAGGGCAAAACACGACGAAAATGGTATCCTAACGTCCGGTTGGAGACCATTCGAAGCGAAGCACTCAATAAGACAATGACTATACCAATCACCGCATCATGTATGCGCACCATCCGAAAGTGCGGTGGACTTGATCAGTACCTTTTAGGTGATAAGCCTGCCAGGATAAAGGAGCTTGGGCTATTCGGCTGGAGACTTAGGTGGAAGGTCATGAGCTCTGCAAAGATGAGGGTAGAATTCCAACGGCAGAGGAAGAAACTTGGCTTACCTCCGAATCACTCATGCTTTGAATCATTTGACGAGGTTTGGGAGAAGGATCAGGAGCTCAAGGAGGAGGTGAGGGAAGAACAGGAGAAGCAATGGCAAGAGTTGAGGGAAAGAGACAACAGATTTCGGCAGCATGTGATGAGCCATTGGAAGGACGATTACAGAAAAACGAAGGAACCAAAAAGTGTGGTGCCACCCTTTGATGAAGCAGCATTCGAGTCCTTGTGATTACTCAAGTTTGGAGGAAGAAGCTGCCCAATCATGTTCTTTGCAAGTATTAGCTCATCTATTGGCTGAATCCACACATTGATAATTCCAAAGCGTCAAAAGGATGCTCTCTTGCAGTAGCCCATCTTGGCTACATGATCTCCTTGAGGCATAGAGTACAGGAGACATTCCACTGTCATGAATTCAATAAAAGGAGTTTGAATTCTCCCAAAGGGCGATTCAGCAGACAAACGTACGTCCAAGTCACTGTGAAACACAACACTGAGCAAGACCACAACCCTATTCCTTGCGCCTAGCTTAATATTGTGGCGTCACAGCAAGAAGTTCGAAGAGTTCCCAGTCCTTTACAGCTCTTTGATTAGAAGCATGGAGACAATGGCCTAGTTCTGAGGGTGTTTACAACCCACAGAACAGATGGGAGTCAGATGCCTGAAGCAAATCTTAGGATCTGCCTGTGTTTGACCCCCATAAGTGATCAGATAAGTGATCAGTGGTGATGTGCTGTTTCTCGTGAAATTGCTCCTGCCTTTCCCTTAGCATTCTCATCTAGATTCCAAGGGTTGGTGTTGTGAAGAGCACTGCTGGTTCCTGCTACTTACATTCAGTACTGCAAAGAATAGCCCGCTCCCTGCTTTCTGCGTTGCTTGACTCATACCCATTATCATCGTTCATGCTCAGCAAGGTTGATTGTTAACTTGCCAACGATTTGCTACCTCAAGATCTCACTGTGGCTGAAGTCCGAGTTGAAGAATAAAGCCTATCCTTCTCTTTTTGTCAACAACTCGTTGTTAGCTCTTCCATCCGTCAAGGGGCCTCCGTTCAGATTCTATATTTTATCAAGTACTTGAGAAGCTTTGATGCAAACACTACCAAGTTAGTATTACGATAAGATGAGTGACCCGTGCTCGCTTCTTCGCCTTACCCTTGGAGCTGAGGAGCAAGATCTACAGATTGGTCTTCGGTCCTTGCTCGGAAATCCATGTTCTCTTCGAGTATCATCCATTCAGACCAAAGTTTAAAGTCATTCCTCGATCAATGATGCTCGACAGTCTGCCTAGCAGGGCTCCCGTTTCGCAGGAGATACGAGCTGGGCACCACCCTGTTCTCTGTTAGTATACTAGTCCGCCTTGAGGTGCTCACCATAGCTTTGACACAACGTCGCTTCGTCTTTGCACGCCTGGCGAGCGCTGTCGTCTTCTGCAACACGTTTAGGCACTACGTACATATGCTACGGTCGGTTGAATACTCTATATTTTTTCTCGATCATCCCAATGGACATAAGCTCGAGGAATACCATACAGAGCGCTTGAAACATGCAATGCCGGCTGTGAGACATCTCATTTGCATATAACGGTAAACCTGCATCCAATTCCACCACCTCTGTATACCAAGGCTGCCTCAACTACTGCTACGCACCCGCCCAATTACCGCTTGAGACAGCCGTTGTGAAAGTCGCGGCATCCTACCGCTCGAAGATGTGCGAAGGTACTCTCCGAAGGCTCGAAAGTGAAGCATGCAAGATTTATCTCAGAGATCTTCCAATGCCTATGGAATCTCTTGAGGGATCGACTATGGAAGAACCATCGGAAGAGCCGCCCGGTCGAGACATACAGGGAACAGAGAAGGTAATCAGCCTTTCACTGTAATTCAAAATCCGTATTGTACGGTGTGGCTGATGGATGAACAGACACCCCGCCCAAAGTATTTTGCCGCCTTAGCAAAATGGCACTTGCCATTTCGGCTTCGCAAGGCTGCCGTATACTTTCGTTGAGTAATAAAAGAACACTGGGGACTGAAACAAATATGTGAGGGGATAAAGGGTAGAGCCGATTTGCAATAGGTGGTTTGTAGTGCTGGAAGCACTGTGCAAGGTGTGACTGCGGAATAGCTAATGCCTCCTTTCGGGTGTACTTCTTCACGTGCAGGGCAAGTCGGAAGGTTTAGCTTGCTAGACCCACCATACCGAGGAATCAATATCCCAACCTTGTGCTCTTCTTCACTCATACTCAAGGCCTTGATCGTGGAGGCTCTACTCGGGGGGTTCAAGTTCTGTTGAGTCTGATATGCTGCCCGAGGCGTCACTGTTCCAGTAAGGGTTGTTGTGTAGGTCTAGTACGGACCTAATTTCGTCAGTAAGCTTGAGTGTCAGCCTTCCTTGGCGCAGCTCAGTATTGCACAGCATGTAAGCATTTTGCCCTCTGTTGTTTGTCTTAAATGGATCAGCCGAGTAACGAACCAGAAGTTCCACCAGATCAGTATGGCCGTTCTTGATAGCTGAATGTAGTGCTGGACGCTGGCTTGCACCGAAGGTTTCGTTAGGATCAGCTCCCCGTGCAAGCAACAACCTCGAAACTTCCTTGTGGTCTTTAGTCATCTCTCGCGACCAAGTGCTGATCGCAAGAGCAAATGGAGTTTGTCCGGCGCCATTCCTAGCACCATGTATGGCGCCTTTCTCTAACAGCATACCCACTGCCCACGGATCTTTTCGCCGTACAGCGAGGTGCAGGGGCATGTTGAGGGTGCCAGGCGGCTCAACGTTGACGTTTGTGGGATAACGTGATTTATCAAGTATCAGGGCAAGCGCTTGACGTCGGTGTTCCTCCAGCGGAGAATAGCCACCATACAGAATCTGCAGCAAGGGGTAATCGCCGTTGCGGTCCTTGATGTTTGGATCTGCGCCCCAGTTTAAGAGCGTCCAGATAAGACCCCGATAGCCGTGGAAATACTGATGTTCAATGGCAAGAGACAGGACCGTTCTACCGGTCCGGGGTGTCTTCATGTTTACATTTGCACCCGCTCTCAGGAGCACATCGGCGCACTTGTTGTGTCGCAAACTAGCTCCCTCAACCGCTGCTATAAGTGGACCTCGCTTTGGATTTTGCTATGGGTTGTTAGTAGTGTATGGTATGAAACCCGTTGGGAGAAATCAAACCTTGGTTCCTGGATTGCAACCTGCTTTCAACAAAGCTCGAACAGCAGCGACATTCCCTTTCCGAACATAGTTCTCAAGAATCGGCGCTGAGTTACTTGCCCAGACCGATAAGGTCAACCCTTTCAGCTCAGCGCTTGTTCTTCGTGACATGATAGACGTCGCTGCTTCCGTCTCCTTAACACAGACCTGTTGCATATACTTCTTAGCAACGACCCGGCTCTTGAGCCGCATACTACGCTTTTTCCTGATGTCTCCCGATTCGAGCTGTTTCAGATTTTTGATAGTTAGTGGCGCTGTATTTGCAATTGATCCGGCAGCCACCTTTGCCACCACCTCAGTAACCAGGTCACTTTGCGGGTGTTCGATACTTCTTGCAAGATCAATAAGGCGGTCATTGTGGCCTTCAGCAGCTGACTCGCACACCGCTTGTAGCTGCACGTTGCTAGTGCCGTGTTCGCTCTGTCGAGCCACGACCGAAGTCTCTTCCTTCGACGATGAATCCTGCACATGGGCTCGAAAATTATCTGTCGGTTCGATCTCTGGTATCGCTTCGACACTCCCAAGCTTTGCGATAGAGAATGCAGCAGCAGGACTAATGTCGCCTTCCTCTTCTATGACATCGAGTTGCCGTTGAATGGTCAAGGCCTCACGCTCTTGTGCATCATTGACGGTTAGCACCGAGTGGTCAGATTTATGGGAGTCACTGTCGTCAGATTCAACATCGAACACAAGCTCGCCGTTCTGAGCGTTGAGCACATTCTGCTGGCTCCCTATCTTGTCACTCGAGTCTGCCCAAAAAGTGATATTAGATAGTCGTGCAGGAATTGGATCCTGGTTTTCTTCTAAGGCACTGAGCTCCTGCCCACCTCTACCACTGTCATCATCTTCAACATCGAAAGGAAGCTCTCCGATGGTAGATGCCTGGAGATATTGTTGCATGCCGGCAGCTTCGGTGCGCTCTATCCATGATTGGATTGTTGTTTTCCTTTGTGGCTCCAGAGTCGGGTTATCGTCCTCTTCGATGACCAGATGGGTTTCGTCCGCGTCAACGAACTCAGCCACGCTTTCGTCGTCCGAGGTCTCTTCTTCCATGGCCATGTGTGGTGATTGTCCCACCGATTGCTCTGACAGAGCACAACATGACCCACAGAATCCATGTGCTGCCAATATCTGGCCACGAATCTGCCGAGCATAAGGGCGGTTCCTTGGCTCCCGTGCCAACATGTCTTTGACCCACATCAACGGCAGATTGTCGTAGTCCGGTCCATCTCTGCTTCTGAGCTTCTCAAGCCAGTTGTTGGTTGCCACGGGATTATCGTAAACGTAGGGATGCCTCGATCCATGACTTGTGAAATATGCGTACAAATCCTTGAGCTTTGCGCCTCGTAGCACAGTCGCCATCTCCAGGAAAACGACCCCAAGAGACCATATATCTATGCAGTAGTTCTTGGGTGCGTTCGGGTCTGCTGCTTGCTCTGGTGGCATATAACGGACAGTCCTCGGCGTTGTTGCCCAAGTAGTACTTCGATCCTTCTGTGACCAATCGTGAGCGGCCCCAAAATCTGTCAGGTATACTTGATTGCCCTTGACCAATATGTTGAGCAATTTGATGTCCATATGATAGACCTTGACATCATGTAGATAAGTCACAGCATTTGCAAGGCACCCAAAGAAGTTCCTCAAGTTGCCCATGTGCTGCAGTTGAATCTTGCCTAGGTATTGCTCGAGGTTGTATTCAGCCACAGGCTCCATCAAGAATGCGAAGCAATTTAAATCAGTATAGGTTCCCTTGATCTTGACTAGGTGGCGGTGCGAAAGTTTCTTCAGCGCCCCAATTTCTCGATTCGCTGTTAGTCCTTGCTCATGCTCGTCAACTTGCTCACTCACCCTTTTCGAACCAGCCGTAGCGCTGCTGCGTCTGCTGTACACCCCAGCTGCGGAGGAACTTCTTCCGCGCAAACTGTCTATGGCTCAGTCTGGACCAGACCTTGTCGACACGCCTGTTAAGGTTGAGCTGAGCGACCCAAGCACTTTCAAGCAGCAGATGACTTACCCAAAGCCACCACTTCCAAGTTCTGCTATTTGAATGAAATGAAGGTCACCGTTACGGCTGAATTGAACATGCTTTCCCTTGTCACCCTTCTCAAGCTCAGCAGCCTCTGTCAGGCAACACGCTTGTAGATTCACAAAAGCATGCCTGGAGTGTCCCAGTGATGACGGTAACTCATGCTCATTGAAAGGCAGCATATCATCCATGTACTTACAGGCAATAAACTCAGGCATGGTGTCCAGGCGTTGAATGTTTCGAAGAATGGTGAAGATACGCGGTCTGAGAGCCCATTCTTTCTGTTTGATGGGGTCGTCATAGTGGCTTAGCAGGTTTCGAATGTTCTTGAAAGCTGTTGCTGATAATATTCTTTGCCTGCGGGAGTCGTTCTCCAGGGGGGGTTCGCACCACTTATCTAGGGCTTTGTCAAGCTCATCCGCAGGTATTCGCTTCGCTAAGAAAGACGGGGCTACAAAGGTTCTGAAAAAAGATACAGGGTTGAGAGCCATTCTCTGCTATCTGTATGTATGAGTATGAGTAAGAGTACCTGCCCGCTATGCAGCACATTGAAAAGATGGAGTGAAAGCGAGAGGCGATATATCAGCTACCCTTGTCAGACTGAGCAGGACATCTCGTCCACAGTCGAGGCGTAGCATCATATCTGGTCTCATGCTACCATCAGGCAGCGCTAATGCGGGACAATGTACACTAAAAAAGTTATTTAGTATATCGGTCACTTGCGAGGCGTACTTGTTGGCCATGCATTTCGATTCACGGTGGTTTTGTTCTGCTTCTCACCATGACCACGTGCTATAGTCCTCGAAAATTCCAACCGTAGAATGCGGGTGTTATTTAATTTTGTTGCACGATACCTATACTACGCCCAAGATCCTCAAACCAATGTTGTCGATGAGTGACTTCCGGAGAGCAGGTGGCTGAACGCAACACACCACGGACCGGCCCCTTCGGCCCGAAATGGCAACCGGATTTGATATTGCCGCCGGTAAGTGATATGTAGCCCGTGCAGCTGCCCTCGAACACTCTAATGATGTTGTCACAGGAATTGCCGGTGTCACCTCGTTGTGTATCACCCTTTTCCATGGCTGTGTTAAAGGCATCTCGATCATCTCTGAGGCACGTCAAATGGGACAGAGCGTTGAGCGCCTCAGTCTCATGCTGGAATGGGAACAGTTCCGCCTCCTGCGCTGGGGTGAAAGAGCTGGTTTATGCGATAACAGCCCGGAAAATACAAAGCTAAATTGGAATCTGGTGCATGAGCTGCTTAGCCACTTGCACAGTGACCTCACGGATGCAAAAAGACTGAAAGAGAAATATAATCTTGACGTCTTTGAAGAGGCCGTTACCGAAGGCGGAGCTTCGGCTGTGCCAGACAGCTCATCCTCTAAGTCTTTTCCAGGACGTAAGAATAGCAGCCTGCTTGGTAGGTCATGGGCATATGCGAGTCCAGGTATGCGGAAAAGTCGTGCGCAGATTATCCAGCAGAAGGCAAGCACATTCAGCAAACTGAAGTGGTCAGAATTCGACCAGGACAAAACCCGCAGACTACTTGCGGACATTACATACTTTAATAATGCTTTACAGGAGCTCCTGGATGATGCGCACCAACTTGTCATCAAGAATGGAATGGCAGCTCTTCTAAGAGACCTGATCTCTCGTAGCACAGACGGGTCAGAAGTGGAAACCATTCAAGCCTTTTTGCATGAAGACGCTGTTGCAGATACAGCGGCTCTTGAAGCGGTGAGCCAAGTTAAACAAACCAGACTTATTCTCGGTGTAGACAGGAGGTTTGACGAAGGCTCCAGTGCGCAAGCAGAGAGACCCAAGCTTACCAAAGTGAAATATGAGAATCTTTCAAAGTTCCAGCCAGTCGGCGAAGACGGTAAGCGGGAAGTCGCCGAGTACAAGACTTCATCATCTAAGCGAACTGTGCATTCATATGTGTTGCTGGAATGGAAACGCGTGGACAAGAAGACCGACCAGAAGATTAAAAGGAGGATAATGGAGCTTGCGCTTCTAATGGGCACCTCCTCAAATAACGGCTTTAATTCACTCAAATGCCTTGGCTTTCTTGAACGGAATATGCCTGGACAGGATAATAGGTATGCCTATGTCTTCGAGATCGTCGATCTGTTGAACGTTCCCAAGCAGGACGTTGCGCCCACGCCACCCACGCCACCCACGCCACTCTCGCTGCGATCCGTGTTGAAGCTCCCTCGCAAGCCGAGTCTAACAGAGCGCATTGCAATGTCTCTGGCAGTCGCGGAGACCGCTTTACAGATGCACACTGCGGGCTGGCTTCACAAGGGTATCTGCGCAGATGCTATTTTATTCATCAACGCCGAGCAGACGAGCTGGCAGAAGGGCACCAGCCTGGGGCCTTACGTGGCCGGGTATGAGTTCTCGAGAAATTCACTCGAAGAGACGGAAACAGTGCCATTTGATGTCAAGCAAGCCCTTTACTGGCATCCCGCAATGCGAGACTTTAATCAGAGATCAGACAACCTTTTTCGCAAAGAATATGACCTCCACTCTTTAGGATGTGTTCTCCTCGAGATATCTCTCTGGAGCAGCCTCGAAGACATTTTGCGCAGCATAGGAGATCAATCTCAGCCTTCGGATCCACCATCCACCACAGGGAAAAGTGAGAGTCAGATCAATTATGAGAAACGACTTGACCTTCTCCAACGGCAGACTGCTCTCAAGGAGCGGACAACAGCTGGAGCCATCTTGGATCAAGTGGCGTTTGCAGGTGGCAACCGGCTTCGAGAAGCTCTTGAATTGTGCTTTTTCCCACAACTTGTGACGCACAGGGAGCCAGCAGGGGACGAAGAAATAAGCTTCGATCTAGTGGAGTTGTCAGTCGAAGCTCAGCTTTCCATAGTCGAAATCCTACGATCACTGTGCCAAAATGTGTGATATCATCTTCGACGATTTACACCACGAGTATGAATGGAGTAGTCTATTAAGCCATCGCTCAATAGTGGAATGAGACCTCTCGAACTGAAGTTGTGTCTAAGTCTGATTGATTCTAATCGGTGGCTTACCGCCATTTTAACGTTACTGGGTACTGATGGTAAACCAGCAGGAGAGTCATCTGCAAGTGAGCCTGACAGAGTCGTCTTTAGATCATGCCTTCTTGGATCCTGGTATTTTAAAAACTCGAATTCTGCTCCTCAGAGTCGTTGCTTTAGATTACTCCCAGATACTGTTCGACTTAGTGAGCTTGCCAGATAGAATGAATTAAAAGTCTATTGTAACAACCTCCACATTCATTGCTCATATGCACGAACGTGAAGCGTGGCTGTCAAGTTGGCCTTTTACCGAACGCCCTGGTTATGCAAATGCGAGTCATACATACTCCTTGCACAAGGGCACTGAGATTGTATTACACCCACCGATCAAACCACAGTGTGACTGAACAGGAAACTCACGCTCTCCCCATTGTGTGTCCTCCGACATGCTTCCGCCAGCACAGGACTAATATCGATAGTCTCAACCCTGCAACCCTTTTCCCCATCCGGCACCCTCAGGGCATCCAATTTCTCTTCCGAGACCGGCACCGTATTCGTAATCACCAGCTTGCTGAGACAGCTCTCCTTGAGGACCTGCACCGCCTTTCCAGACAAGATCCCATGCGTAACCAGTGCAACCACATCCTTCGCGCCGTGTTTGACCAGCGTATCCGCGGCTTTCGCCAACGTGCCGCACGTGTCTGCCATGTCGTCGACGAGAATGGCGGTTCTATCCTTCACGTCACCGACCAGCGTCATCCTTGACACTTCGTTGGGTCGTTGCCTCTCCTTGTGGATCAGAGCGAAGGGCAGATCCAGACGATCCGCCATACTCGTCGCTCTCTTCGCACCTCCAGCATCTGGACTAACGATCACGCAATCGTTCCTACCGAGATGATTCTCCTTGTTTCTATCCTCACGCCCTCTTGTCCCAGCCGCACCACCTTCGCTAACATGAATCAAATTCTCCCGTATCCACTTCACAGCCGAAGGCTCCGCATACAGATTATCAACCGGCACGTTGAAAAACCCCTGGATCTGCGAGGCGTGTAGATCCATGGTGATAATGTGGTTGCAGCCGGCGGTTTGTAGCATGTTGGCCATCAGCTTCGCGGTGATGGGGGCGCGCGACTTGTCCTTTTTGTCTTGCCGTGCGTAGGGGAAGTTGGGAAGGATGGCGGTGATGCGGCGGGCGGAGGCGGTTTTGCAGGCGTTGATCATGATTAGGAGTTCCATTAGGCCGTCGTTGATGTCGTTGGGGCGGGTGGATTGGAGGATAAACACTGGAGATTGCGACTGAGGTTAGATAGGGTACGGTTGAGGTAAAGGCAGTTGGTACCATCTTCGTCGCGCACAGATTCGCCTATTGTCACACTGGTCTCTTGATTCGAGTACTGTAGAACCATGATCTTGGTGAGCTCGATGCCCAGTCTGTGAGTTCAAGTGTAAGTGCTCGCTCGAGGTTACGGAGGATGCGACAAACCGATCTGCCACTGCCTTTGCCAACTGTGGATGACTGTTGCCGGTAAGCAACTTGATTGAATTTGTCGCCATTGCGGACTGCTTTGTCGGGCCCCCAATCGAAGTCCCTTCATCGTGAAGGGAGTCATAAGCAACCATGGTGGTCAGCGCCCCCACTGTGGGGAAAGCAGAAGAAAATTTCACGGCTACCAGAACGTACCAAGAGCGCAAAAGAGCAGTAGACGCTGGTTGGGAATGGCTAGAAGACTGAATTAGGGGAGATCAGGACGGTTTACAAAATCCGTGAGCTTGATATCTAGAGGCATGGTTGTGATGTACCACAGCAGGCTCAATGCATTGCCTGGGTCACAATTGACTTGCTCCACGTGTCCAGCTGACCTTCATCTCTACCATTCGTCCAACCACTGAGACCTTGTACCGCCCTCCGAATGCAGATGGGATGACATGCACTCTAAGTTCTCATTGACGAGGCACGCCTCTTCCTCATTTCTGTCCTCTTCTCCCTCTCCTCGTGAACTCGCTTAGCCAACAATTGAGCATACTCGGTCGCCGCGTCTTTTTGAGCCTCTGCTCTTCTCCGCTTCAAGGCAATTCTGTGACGCTTGTGCTGTATTCGCTGAGGGGTGACAAGTCGTTGAATCTTTGGGGCTTTGGTGTATGGCTTCTTGCCTTCGCCTTTGGGTTGGACTTCTCTTCGGATTACGAATTTTCTACGCGAGAGATATTAGTCTTCAGTACACGCACCGGGGTTGTTGTCACTAACCGAACATCATCCTTCTTGTCAAGACCAAAGAATCTGCGGATCTTCGTGGCGCGCTTTGGACCAAGACGCTTGGGGTTCACCACGTCCGTCAAGCCTGGAATATCACCTTCGCCTTGTTTTACGATCGAAAGAGCAAGAACAGATAAGTCCTGGCCCACAATGCAACCACGGACTGATTTTCGCCTGCGTTCACCAGTTCGACGAGGGCGGTAGCAGGAATGACCATCGGAGAGGAGGAGCTTGACACGAGTGGGCAGCATCTAGATTTGTAATCAGTAACCTGGATAGCGAGGTCCTGTTCTGGTCTGCCATACAACACCCTGCTTCATCGGAAAGCCTTGCTTGTCGTTGCCTCCAGTAATGCGAACGATCTGTTGAATCTGCATCAGCCCGAAGCTCGACCGTGGTATTCATCAGTGATTCCTCACGTAGCCCTTCCACTCATCACCCAGGCTATCCGCTGAAACTTCATTGCCCATTCGCTTGTCCATGAAGACGCGCAATTTGCGGTCATCCTCGACCTCAATCAATTTTTGAGACCCATTGGCAGGGTACGAGATGTTGAGCTTCATCTTGACGTCAAATGTGGCTGTTCAAGACAGGGCACGTCTTGATCAACAACAGCCGTGATCAGAGTGTCAAGATGTTGTTTATTTCAGGTGGTTACGATACCGCAGCTTGGTGCTGAAATTCAGTGTTGGTCGAAATGTGTGGATGCACTAGTGCTGAAATGGGAAGGCGCCAATAGGGCTTGCCAAGATTTATGAGTCTCTGAGACTCGGAGTGCAGCGCTGAAGCACATCCTTCATATGTACCACAATGCTACACAAACTGTGCTAGTAACATGTAAGGTCAAAGTGGTTGAGACTGAAGAACTTGGATAATTCACAGAGTAGTAGTGGCGAGGGTATACTGTCCTGTAAATTGGGAACGACACAAAGCGTGCGCACTAACTTCCTCTTCGACGCCTGCAATGCCAATGCTATCATGTCGCTCGTACGCTGCCAGTAAAATTTCAAATTCATCCAACCTTTGGGCATGTCTGCCACGGGCCATACCAAAGCCCCACTGGCCACCTCCATCGTCTGCCCCTTTTCAGCCGGCGAAGATACGCACATTTAAATCCACGCTTCCAGTTGCGATGACGCACCTAATCTTCCCAATGCTGTCATCTTTCTTTTTCACATTTCCATTCACGAGGCCATTGACAAGGCCATTGGTCTCTCCATTCGTATGTGCCTGGACTGGAACATCAGGTGCCCATCGGATACTGCTCACAAAATGACCATGACTATCATCGACTGTCTTGACACACTTGCACTCTTGCGATAGATCCCAGCAACGGATCGTCTTGTCATCGGATACCGAAAGTAGATATTTGCCGGTTGGGTGGAAGACAAGCCCACGGATCCAATTGTCATGGCCTATCAGGTTCTTGACCAATGTACCTCGGTTGTCCCAGATCTTGATAATCTTGTCTCTGCTGCCGGTTGCGAGAAACTCCCCACTACTGCTGGCTGGAGGTGGCTTTTTATACCCTGCGATAGCTGCCAGATGGTGATAGGATGTGCCCGGAGCAAAGGCGACGCACTCAATAACGTGTTCGTGACCCAGAAAGGTTGTCTTCGCTTCACCGGAGCTGGCATCCCAGAGTCGAGGAACCTGATCATTACCGGCAGTAAGAAGCCACCGTCCATCGATAGAGGGTGTGACTGCACGAACCCAATCCGTGTGACCTTTCAAGGTTTTCAGGCAATAGCCAGTGGTAACATCCCAGATGCGCAAGGTTTTATCTCGTGAGGCAGAAACAAGTAAATTGCCGGATAGTGGGCTACCAGCAGCGCCTGATGGTATAAATCGAAGAGATGAGATCGAGTGATCATGACCCGGGAGCGTGCGAATATTCTTGTACTCATCACTTGGATCCCAGAGTTTGATGGTAAGATCGCTGCTGCAGCTAGCAAGTAACGTACCTCCCCGAGGCCCGCCAAAGTCAACATCAAGGACTGGCTTCGTATGACCTTTGACAGTCCTCTCTAGTTCACCTAACTCCCAATCCCAAATCTTGATCGTAGTGTCTTCTGATGCCGAAGCCAGTGATGAGTAAATTGGATGGAATGCGACCGCGGTCACAGGAAGACGATGTCCCTGCAATGTATGCCTTGCTGGAGACCGAGGCAGCCACGTGGCCGGATCGACCTTTCGATTCGAAGAGAGGGGCGTGGCGGTATCTATCTCGTGTTGTAGAGCAGTGTTTCTGGCCTCCAGGTCCATGATTTTCTTCTGCAACCTCACCACCGAAGTCCATTTCTTTTCCAAGAGTCCTTCGTACTTCTTCGCCGTGGCTTCGTCAAACTGCGGTCCGAGGTTTGACTCTTCCTTCAAGGAAGCTGCGCTATTTGAAAGGCCAACGGAAGCAAGATATGCGACGATGGATTTGTGCCTAAAGAGAGTCAGACGTGCTCGTGTAGACAACTGTCTGAATTAGAATCCTCACAGCTCTTCGGCCTGCCTGTTTGTAAGGATCTGGCTCATATTATCCCTTTTCCCACTTACATCCACGCCCCTTCCCACCTCACATCCGTTTAACCCTCGAGGGCACTGATGATTGAGAAGGGTGATGCGACAATGGGCGCGTTATTCCCAGAGACGGTGCGTACTGCAGATCCAAGGGTAGGCGGTCAACCTTATGATCGTTACAACGGATGCTCAATTGAAAGGGCAGTGGGAGTTTGAGGCAGAAGGAAACAATATCAGAAGTGGAGAAGTGCGATGGGACTTTATAGAAGCATCTACAAGACATTGAAAGTGTCTCTCCCCTGCTGACAAAGATAAAAGACTTGCTAGATCTTGCATCCATAGAGAGTTCATTGACACTCCATGGAAGAGTAATTCGTCATTACATATTGTATCCTGACCCCGTCACCACAGCGACCCTGCATGAAATAATCGCGTACAGTAGTTGAACCCGCGACCATGGGAGCCAGACGTAACTTCTTACAGATTCATTGATTTCTACTCATGTTTGCGCTTGACGTGTTTTGCATATTTCTCAATCATTGCGACTACCCGAATCCGTTGTTTACCAGTAAAGAAGGTGCTCATGCGTATAGATCCATTGTCGCTCCTACACACTACACAGCATAACAGCGTTGTCAAGGTACGGTTCCCGGCTCTGCATTGATACAATAGAAGTCTCTTCTCAAGCATGCTTGCGATGGTGGCTGGCACCTAGAACGTTGGCAACTGACTGATGTTTACAGATACTCCATTTACTAGACGACGACTTTCTCCACACAAGCAAACAAGGCCTTTTGCCTCTTTAAGACGTCTCTTCTCCAAAGACATGGCAGAGGCTGCGCAGGAAGACTTTTCGCAGCTGCCACTTCCCGATCGCTTCACGCATAAGAACTGGAAGGTTAGAAAGGAAGGTTACGAAGCTGCGGCCAAAGAATTTAAGCAGACTCCTGACGAGTCAGATCCTGTATTCAAACCATTCTTGCAGGATTCGGGGTTGTGGAAAGATGCAGCAGGTGATTCGAATGTTGCTGCGCAGCAGGAGGGCTTAACGGCACTTTGCGCCTTTCTGAAGTATGCAGGACCGAACGCTGCATCAAGAACTAGGAGCACAGCCATTGAACCAATACGAGAGAAAGGCCTTGCGTCAACAAGACCGGCAGCCAAAGCTGCTGCACAGGAAGCGATACTGCTATACGTGGAGAATGACAAGCCTGATTTCGTCGTCGAGGAGCTCCTGCCTGCCCTCTCCCACAAGCAGCCCAAAGTCATTGCGGCGACATTATCTACAATCACCATTATGTTTCACAATTTTGGCTGCAGAATCCTTGATCCAAAGCCTGTGCTGAAAACACTACCTAAAGTCTTCGGCCATGCAGATAAGAACGTCAGAGCTGAGGCCACAAATCTGACGGCGGAACTTTATAGGTGGCTGAAGGAAGCAATAAAAGTCGTTTTCTGGAATGACCTGAAGCCAGTGCAACAACAAGACTTGGAAAAGCTATTCGAGAAGATCAAGGAAGAGCCCCCACCCAAACAGGAACGATTGACGCGAGCGCAACAGGCCGCAGCAGCGGTAGCAGGAGACAACGAAGATCAAAACGCCAGTCCTGAAGGAGCAGAGGACGTGGAGGCTGAAGACCCTGTCGAAGTTGAGACTTTAGACCTTGCAGAACCTGTGGATGTCTTCCCCAAAATAGCGAAGGACCTGCACGAGAACTTAGCTTCATCGAAATGGAAGGAACGGAAGGACGCTCTTGACGCGCTACTCATCGTCCTGAACGTGCCACGGATAAAAGATGGCCCCTTTCACGAGATCGTGGGTGGTTTAGCAAAGATCATACTGAAAGACGCAAATGTCGCCGTAGTAGGAGTAGCCGCAAACTGCGTCGAAAAGCTTGCTTCGGGCCTCAGAAAAGGATTCGCGAAATATCGATCTAATGTCATGTCACCAATGCTTGAAAGATGCAAGGAGAAGAAGCAAGCAATCGCAGATGCACTCGGCACAGCACTCGATGCAGTCTTCGCCTCAACATCCTTGTCAGACTGTTTAGAAGAAATGATCAGCTTTCTGACACACAAGAATCCACAAGTCAAACTCGAAACCGTCAAATTCCTGACTCGATGCCTCAGGAATACACGAGATGTACCGACCAAAGCAGAAGTCAAGCAGACCGCCGATGCAGCCATAAAGCTCTTGACAGAGTCGACCGAGGTGATGAGATCTGGGGGAGCTGAAATACTAGGAACCCTGATGAAGATCTTGGGCGAGCGAGCTATGGGTCCTTACCTCGACGGACTGGATGACATACGGAAGGCCAAAATCAAGGAGTACTTCGATGCTGCAGTGGTCAAAGCAAAGGAGCGGCCAAAGCCAATCGCACCCCCTGCCAAGACTGCTGGCACATCAGCGTTGGGCAAGAAAGTCACAGCGGGAGGAAAGAAGCCGGCAGGCGTGAAGAAGCCTGCACCCATCAATACAGCTCCAGCTCAGGAGGAAGAGTGTACCCCTCTAAAGCCACAACCTACTGCCAGGTCATTAGCAAAACCCGGTCTGTCAAGACCTGGCTCTGGCCTTTCGGCTCCGGCAGGATCCAAGCTCAATGCTCTCAAAAAGCCAGCAAGTGGTGCAGCCTCACCACAAAGACGCGTCATCTCCCCTCCCATCAACACCGAAGACATTGAAACACCCATTCCCTCTCCTGCCAGATTCGCACCAGGCCGAGGCGGCCTCGCTGGCCGACCCCTCAACAAACCCACTCCCGCCACATCGCACGCAGAACCCGCGCCCACCCCACCCCCGTCCTCTGCTAGCCTCTCCGCCGCCGAAAAAGCCGAACTCGAAACTCTCCGCGCCGAAAATGAGCGTCTCGCCTCTCTTAACGAATCCCTCCGCTCCTCCAACAGCAAACTCTACACCGAGATCTCGGAGCTTCAAAACCAAAACGCCCAACTCATTGAAGACCACACCCGCGACGTGCTGCAAATCAAAGCCAAAGAGACCCAACTAGTGCGCGCCAGGGGAGAATGCGACGTGCTGAGAAGCGAGATCGAGAGCGCGAAAAAGGACATCGAACGGCAGAAGAGGGAGATGTCGAGGTTAGGACGGGAGAGTCTCGGAAGACATCAGCAGCGCGACACATCAGCCATCACGCCCACATCACCTTTACCGCCGGATGAAATTAACAATGGGGGCATCTACACCGACACCAATACCAACTCATCCAGCACCGTGAATGGTGCGAGACCAGGCACCTCCGTCCTCAGTCGCACCGGCAGCGCCGCCAAGCAGCACCAACAACAGTCGACCACCCAGTTACCGGGACAGGTTCGAGCTCAACAGCCCCAGCGAGGAGAAGGAGAATGCGGGTGACGCCAACACTGCGCCGGGATTGTTTAACTCGAGGAGGAAGATGAGTCCCACCGCCGCTTCTTATGGGGGTGCGAATGGGAACAGTGGCGCTACGAGTCCGCACAGGGCTACCGTGGCTGCTGCTGCCCTGAATGGAGTGACTTCTTCGACGGCAACGACAACGACTGCTGCCAGCGCAAGTGTGAATGGGAGTCGGGATCGGAGTCCGGCCGAGCCGGCGGAGAACTGGAGGAGAGCGGCGGAGGTGACGAGTCAGTTGAAGGCGAGGATTGAGCAGATGAAGGTATGCTGTACCCTATTCAGTAACTCCTTTTTTTTCACGTTGTCGTTGTCCCTTTTATCCAGAATGAAATATGTTTATAGGATGTTATGCTAACGCTGGGGAATCAGGCACGGCAAGGGCTTTCTCGACCGCAGCATTGAGGTGTATCTGGATTTGGGCGTTGGTGAAGAGCGCGTGGCTTTTCCTTCTTGATAGCTTTTGATTTGTGAAATGGCAGTTTACAGGAGACAAGCGGATTGAAAGCCGACGTTGTGTAGTGTATAGTCCCTGGTCTTACACGATATGACGGGTCAATCAGTGTACATTGGAAGGAGACAACCCAACTCTTGTCTTCATCATATTGGCTTCTTGTTGGTCTCGCGGGAACTAATATCACTTCCGCAGTAATGAAGCGCTAACAGAGATGAGAATGGCAGACACTTCCAAGTCTCTAGATCTTGATGGCACTCTCAAGGGCTTTCCTCTTCTTCTCTTGCTTCGCCACGGCCTTCGCTCCCATAATGCCACCACCCCAATGCCTCTTGCTCTCTTCGTACTTGTCGCTGTATCCGTCCTTGATGGCAGACACCAGCTTCGACAGCTCTGACTTGTCTTCTGATCGCACCTCCGTCAATGCCAGAACAGCAGCAGTCTTCTTGTGGACGACGGTGCCGAGCCTGGCCTTGCCCTTGATGATTGCGTATGGCACACCCATCTTTCGGCAAAGAGCGGGCAGGAAGACGACAAGCTCGATCGGGTCGACATCGTTCGGGATGAGGACGAGAGCGGCCTTTTTGTTCTCGACCAGACCCACCACGTGGTTGAGACCGTACTTGACGGCGTATGGCTTCTTGCTGACGTCCTCCTTCTTCTTGCCTTCCTCGACTGCTGTCGCTTCTTTATGGAGACGTTCTTTCTTCTCCGCCTTGGATTCTGGTCGGTATTTATTTAGGAGCTTGAAGGTCTGGGCGGCGGTGTTTCGGTCTAAGGTGTTTTGGAACTGGGCAATAGCGGGTGGGACTTTGAGACGAAGATTGAGGATCTTCTTCTGACGTTGAAGGCGAACATATTCGGGCCACTTGACCATGCGCGAGAGATTCCGTTTTGGCTGGATGTCTTGACCGATACCAAAGTTGCGAGGACGTCTCTCGAGGAGAGGATTCTGCCAGAGTCAGCTGAGATTGCAAGTAAACCTTGCAATATAAAGACAGACCTTAGCAGGTTTCTTGCTTCCCGCTTTAGATTGCGGGAACGGCGCTGCGGCCGGTTTCTTTCCCTTAGGAGGCTATCATTGAGAAAGAAGATCAGCGAATCAATCTTGGTCACCAAGAATTGAGATCTTCTTCATCTCTAAAGAGAACATGAGCGTTGCTACACGCTCATGACTCAAGCCAGTCATCACCATCAGCAGCACTCGGTTAAGAGCACAGATCTTTTGGTGGAATTCAGCCATATTGCATGATACTTCTTGGCGGCAACTGTCGCGGAACATGGTCGCTGTTGAAGGAGGAGTAGAGGGTGTTCATTCTTACCATGACGAATTACAAACGGCGGCTGGAATGGGAAGTAAGATTTGGTGATGGTGGTGGTGGTGGTGGTGATTGTCCTTTGCGGCACGGTAAAATGTGTAGGGTGCCAGTGGCTTGGCAATTTCAAGCTGAGCCCTAGCCCTAATCCGTAATAGGAGCTAAGGTGTGAGGTGTGGTGAGCTACACTGCACGCCTCCAACCAAGTAGCCATACCAGAATTTAGACGGTGTACGCTTTACAGCAATGGTTGAATGCCAATAGACGGCGATACCAAACTCATTCACATGCCAGTACAACAATATTGGTGGTCCTCGAGTCTCGATTTGTACCTATTATGAATGGCTAAGCAACGCATAAGCAATGGTCAGGTTTGGATCTGCACATCCTTACCCGCCGTTGATGATGACGCGTGGCTAGAACTACCCGGTTGTAAAGACCCATGAATATGTGTACATGAAGAACGATTGCTTGTTGAAGCACTGAAGAGAAAGAGTGCCCGCAGATGTTGACAACAATTACCACGAAAGCATATCCTCATGGGAGTACGCAGTAAGCCGTGCGAATTATGAGGAGTAGCATGCTAGAACACCGATCATGCAAAGCCGAAGTACTCGCTGCCCTGAAGCATCGCCGTGAGAAGTCTCTGCCGCAAGGTCTCGTAATTCTCGTATTCTGGAAGATCCAACTCTGTGGCATGTGTTAGTGCAAGACTCAGAAGGCTGGGGCAATTGACTTACGATTGAAACATGTATGACTGCTGGGCAACCGATCCTTGTTGCCGTAGTCTTTGTGGATGTTGAAGCGAGAAAACCCATTCATACCCTCCAACTCCTTGAAGCCGTTCAACGGGACCTTGCTGGTGCCAGTGACAAATTGCAGAAGCTTAGCCTGTTCTTCCTTATCGAAGCTGCGCACAGCTCGCCAGAACCATTGAATTTGTGGGCTCGATGCACTGTAATTGTGATACTCGGTATTTGCCTTCCAGTCATCCACGTCGATATCTGGCAAACCGGATATGAGAAGTTCAAGCTCTTGCTCTGTGAAAATCGACACAAGTTCGGCCGGGATGATATCGTGGAAGCCCTTGAGGAAGTTCTCTAGCTGCTCCTGCACAGAACCCGTCAAGCGATACTCCACCAGGAGCTGGACGTACTCTTGTTTGTTTTCTTCAGTGACAGGGATGTTTCGTCCATCCTCGATGAGATCAATGATCTGGGATTCACCAAAGTCGTCTGACTCAATAGAAAACGTTTCCGTAATGATGTCTGTAATGTCGTTCTCCAGCATCCACACCAGCGACTTGTAGTAATCTAGATCAAGCGTTTCCATGTCTTTGATGGAAACGGTCTTGCCCAGTATCTTCTTGTACACGGCTCGGCTAAAATGACAATCCAACACACGACTCTCGTAAAGAGCCTTGCCGATAATGCGTCCGATGAACTTGAAGAACAACAGGTGCTCGGCATTGACACCACTCAACCGGTTAGGGTGGAAGGTTGTCCGGTCTGAAGCAACAGGGATAAACAAGGCGTAGTTCGGATTGAACATGCCCCGAGCAAGAACTTGGAACCACTCTCTGGTAACACCACCTGCATCGACGCCCTCTTCACCGTTGAAGCGGATGCTGAGCTTGCCATACTTCATCTCATCGGCACTGTTGAAGTACAACGCTTTGAATGAATCCAGGAAACATTGGTCTCTACGCACGTGTAGCTGCAATGGTGGCTGGGGATGTCTGGCTTCGCGGCTCCTAGAATGTATTTGTCTTGTGAAATAGGTGCGCTTGTTGTCGAACTCCAACACCTTTGGGTTCTTAGCGAGCAAGGAGAAACTTCCGTTCATGAGCTTCGAATTCTGTCGGACAAGTTCATTCAATATCTTGCGATGCTCTGTAGTGAAATTGAAGAAGACCCCTTCCATACCAGACTCCGGACCTGGACTTGCCACTGATCGTTCTCGCACTCTCTTCGATGGAGGTGCATTTTTCAACGATGTATTCTTGCACACGACCATGAGAGACTCAATCAGCGGCAGCAAGACTGTAGCTACGCTGAGCATACCCTCTTTCTTATGGATGGCACTTAGACATTCGCTTAGCTTGATCCAAAGTGGACCGAAAGTTGAACTCTCATAGAGAGAGGTGAGTACATCTTGCGTCTGCAGGGTTCCTTCGTCGGAATTCTCTGGCCTCTTCGAATCGAACAGGTAGTCTAGGGCCGTGAGTATACGCAACAGCTTTGCTTGATCGGCACTCGCCGGCGAGAACTTCGCTGTGGCAATGCCTTGCACGTCAGTCCCTGATGATGCGTCCACGATTTTCGTCAGAAGATCACCCAAATCCGCTAATATCGCCTGAGAGAGCTTCTGTGACTGGTTGATCAACTCTTTGCCAAAAACATCCTTTGCTCCAGGAATCAAGGAGAGGTTGTTGATAGTGGACACGGTGTCACGGAACGTCTTGCCGTTGCATTCACGTGCAGCCAGTACGCCAACGATCAACTGCAGATTCTGTTCAGGGATCACTGGTGGATCAAACGGCCTCTTGCTCTTAGTCTCGTCAGCAGCTTTTGATGGGTCTGCTACTACAACAGAACCTGTGACCACATTGTCAGAAAGCTGCGCGCTAGCGTCGTGCAAGGACGTCTCTACTGCTGACGCAGCTGGTGCATCAACCATCGCAGTGTCCGTAGCGCTGACAGATTGGTCTTCAACGGATGGATTTTCGGCAAGTGCGCCATGAGCAGATTCCTCAGCTGCCGTTGATGCCTGCTGAGCACCGTCGGCATTTTCGCTGGCAACGGTTTCTGGCCCGTCTTTGTTCTCGACATTTGAAGGGTCGTGATTGTCCTTGTCCTTCTTAAGTAGCCAGGTAAGAGGCTGGGTGATTGTGGCAAGCAGATTCGCCAGATTCTCCATGCAAGCTGAGTTTTCAGTAGTCAACTTTCGATCAAGGAGGCCGATGAGCGCATTGATTGCGTATTTATTGGAGCGTGTCTCCTTGGCCTTACCTTTGCGATTTCCCTTTGATTTGTAACTTGCAGAAGATTCGAGCTCTCGGAGAAAGACGGAGGCAACGTGTGCATCATACTGGGTCAGAGAAGCTAGCGCTGCCAGGCATTGTTGGACGACCATCAATGGTGTCATCTCGGTTGCATTGACCTGCGTGGTCTGGGTTGACATTGTGCGCTTGAGTGGTTGGGGCGCTTTCTGGACGGAAGAAGTCTTTGCACGAAGCGAAAGATGGGCCAAGCTCTTTTCCACCGCAGACACATCTGCAGAACCATCCTGAAGAATCGAAAGTAACAGACTGATGACTTCTGCGCGTGTCTGCCGGTGCTGGCAGACATTGTGCAAAATGGTGTGCAGATTACTGCGCGTTGATCCTTGCTGTTGCATAAACATTAGTCTCATCAATGTTGCAACGCCTGCTCGATCCACCATTTGCACCACTTGCTTCCGGGTTTCCCGTTGACTTGAGACGGGGTCGCGGCCGCTGCGGTCCTCTCGAGCGTCTCGGCCTACAGGCATTCGAGCACCGAACTGATGCATCTGTCTGCTCATGATAGCACGAGCCTCTGCGGCATATTCCGGGCCAAGCGCACTGAGAACCTCATCAGACTGATCTGCCAATATCGAGCGCCGGAGTGCAGGATCTAACGTGGCCATAAAGCTGTCGGCATCCATTTCTTCTGCGCGAGGAGCCCCACCAGATTCGGCAGCTCTTCGACGAGCAGCTTCACGTTCCTGTCTGCGCCGGTCAGCTGCCTCTTCTCGGAGAAGCTCTTCTCGGATATCCTCAGGTAGAGCCTCTAGAAACTCGCGGTTTATATCAGTTGGTGGTTGACCTTGCTCTTCTGCCTGATGGCGTTGCTCAGCGTACTGCTGCATGATAACCTCCTCCCGTATCTCCTCGGGAAGCTCCTCAAGGTACTCAGCGTCGATAGACAAATTCGTGATATCAACCTGCCGCCCTCGGATCGATGTGAAAACGCGTTGGGCAGGGGTTTGTGATGGACCAGCGGCGGTCGACGGCTCGGATACTGCCTCACGGGAAGCCTGATTTTCGTCTTGAGTCTCTGTGTTGCGGACGTCTTGCATTGGCTCTGCACCATCAGTCAGCGGTGCGGGCGGTGTTTGGTCCCCTGTTCCTGCTGTTGTAGAAGCCGCTTGTGCAGCCTCCTGAGCTCTTGCTACAGCTTCTTTCTCCTCTTCTTCCCTCTTCTTCCTTTCGCTTTCTTCTCTCTCTATGCGCTCTTGGCGTTCTCGTTCCGCCTGTTGTTCCTCTGCACGTTTGCGATCTTCTTCGGCCTTTCTGAGACGAGCCTTTTCCTCTTCCATGGCAGGCGGCACGAGAACACTGAGCAGAACGTTGACAATTCGCTGGGTTTTCTCTACATAGCCCATGCCGAAGAGAAGTCTTGCCTCTTCCTGCCAGCGAGACACAGTGGATAATGGATTGAAGTTCACGGTGCGCTGCGGATCTTGTCGCGCGTTTCGTGATAGTGTGGAAGGGAAGGAGGGCCTGACAAGCATGTCGTTGAAGCGCCCTGGCGTTGTATCCACGCGAATGTCAATACGGCCACTAGGATCATTTATCTCCACGCTACCTTCTCCGCGTTGCATTGCTTCCATAATGGCATCAAGCATGCCTCCACTTCCCATTCCAGAGCCAGGCCCAGTAGGTAGATAGCCCATAAAACCAGGCCCGAACCCATGCACCAAATCCATTGGAGACGGGATTTGGTGGGCATCGGCAGGTATGGAGGAGCCCGGCTGTTGCAGTAAAGGATTGGTCCCGTCATCAGCTGGGCGTGTAGGAGGGGCCACGCGGTGTGATCGATGGATGCCTGGTATTGGTAGGCCATGACCAGTGATATGTCGGCTCATAAAGCTTGAGTATTGTCCAGGAGCAGCTCGAAAGTGATGATGATGATGCGGTGGAGGATGATGGTGCATTCTTTGGAAAGGTGGAACAGCACCTTCTTCCCACGGCCAGGGAGTGTCCGGGTCGTTCAGCATCTCATGGAACGTCTGGTAGGTGAGATCATCTTCATTCTCATTCAATTCATCGTCGTTGTCATCTTCATCTTCCTCGTCTTGTAAGTCTTGCATGACATGCTCAAATTCCCCTTCACCTAGTACTTCGCCAATCTCTGCAGGTGCTGGACGTGGTACTCCAGCATCCTCGCCAAGGATATTAAGGAGATTGTTGAGTGGGCCTTGCTCATTCAGGTCGACATCGCCGTTATTGACATTTTCTCCTGCGGCCGAGGACTGATCCAGAATCTCCTGCAGTCCGTCTTGGGAATCATCCTCGTCTACATCGTCCGCATGTTCATCATCATCACTTTGCCACTCGCCTTCACCGTCTGCAAGGCTGTCATTTTCGTCATCTGCGTTGAGCTCGCCTTCCCCAGCGGCGTCTTCAACGTCGACTAAATAGTCGCCTTCATCCTCATCATCTTCGTCCCCGTCGTCCTCGTCTCCTTCGTCGTCCTCGTCCTCATTCCCGTCGTCTTCATCGTCCTCACCGTCGTCTGTGTCGAGGTCCATGTGTGGGTCACCCATAACTAGCTCGATGTCCATTGGAACGTCACCAGAAAGGCCTTCTATAGGTCCGCCGGGACCATTCTCGTCTTCGACGTCCTCATCGCTAACAACCTCACCATCGTTGCCGCCAATGGGAGCCATGTCCTCCTCAAACTCCATATCATCGGCATATTCGCCCTCATACATCTCATCGTCCTCGTCTTCTGGTTCTGACTCGGAGCTTGATTCTTCTTGGCGGTTAGGTTCCAGCATGCCAAGTGCAGAGTTACGAAAGAGATCGGGGGTCTCCTCTCTATCGTCATCTACTTCAGAGACAGAAGACGCAGAAGAAATATCGGCTTCTTCAGACTGTCCAAGGGCCGATGAAACCGGGGTTGACGAAGTCAGACTTAAATGGACTGCAGTATTGGTGAGCTCGTTCAGTGGCTTCAAGATGTATTTCACGACACGCTTTGCACCCGGGAATGTCAAATCGATGTCAGCGAGGGACGAGGTGAGAATGGAGATGAAGTTCTTCTCGAACATCATCTTGGCAAGAGTTTTGTGGGAAGTGTTATTTGAGCCAGCTACTCCTTCGCTTCCGGATGGCTTGGATAACAATTGATGGAATAGATTTGCAAGACAGAGTATTCGGGCATACCGCGTTTGCAGGGCTTCGTTCGAAGAGTTGGCATCTTTGAATGCCTTGAGGCCATGTTCCAGAACGAACTTTCGAACAAAGGTGAGATCTGGCTCGCTGTCGTTGTCTTCAACCCGTGGGTAGTTAGTGTAGCGTTCTCGGCCCATGACCAGACCTTGTTCTCCTGTCTTTGAACACAGGGCAATGATTAATTTCATAGCCCACTCGGATGTGACGCTACGCTTCTTAAATTCGACTGGCTCTTCAACCTCGTTGGAGTCCACTGGAATGAGAGAATTCAGCAAGTAGTTCAAGACGCCCGAACGTGGCTTCGATGGTGTCATCGCAAGAGGGTCTGATTTGCGTGAGAAATTGATAAATTCTATTTTGGTACGATTGTATGAGTGAAGAAGCTCTGTTAGGCATTGCAGGAGGAAACAGCGATAGATATAGATCGGATGATCTTCTCCGTTGAATGTGGCTTTGTCCACCTTCTCGGGCGTGCGGGCATCAGGTTGAGGAGTTGAAACGGAAGAGACATCTCCCATTTCCACTTCATTGGCCATATCGGTCGGGCTAGTGACAGGTCTGTCTATGGAAGCGGTAGCAATGTCCTTGTCCTCAACATCTTTGTAGATGAGGAGCTGTGACAAAAGGAAATGAACAACACCGTCTGGATGTTCCACAACAGGGGCTTTGACATCGGCGGCCCTACCCTTTGCATCTTCGGTGATCATGTCCAACACGGCTGCTTCAACACTGTCCTTCGTCACGCTGGCGGCATCAATTGGTACTGATGGCGCAGACGATGGTTCTTGTTGCAACGTGGACCCGCTGGGGCCGTCCGAGACGGTCTCCGTGGATTTTAATGCCAGAGTCTGTGGCCGCTGGTTGGTGTCGAAACGCTGTAACTTAAGCTTCTCTTTGGAGACTTGAACGAAAATCTCCGGCGAGCGTAACACGAGGTGATACAAATTGCGCACGTATGTCGTAGTGTCTATCTGGCGTGAGCTTCTCGTATCAAAATTAGCAACAATCTCGCTTCTCATGATTTGCCGGAGCGTTTCATCATCTTCGATAACATGGCGAAGGATCAGCATCACTGAGCTGTGGATACGATCGCTGGCTAAATTGGCTAATTGCTTCATCATCACGAAGAGGCGTTGAAGATTGCGCTTCTCGCCAAGCTGCACCGCTATCTGGCGCTCCCTTGTCAGAATGACGAGGACTCTGGCGATGGACAGTGCCAGCGATTTGTCTTTCCCTACTCGAGGAAGGATCTCAAGAAGCGACTCGAATAGAAGCACCTTCTGCTCTTTGGTGACAATCGTCTTTTTAGCAGGCACGACTTCTTCAGGAGGTGGCCCGTCAACATTGGCTGGCATGTTCCAAGAAATCTCCGGCGGCTCAGCATCATCAGAGAGCATTCGCTCTGTGATAAGCAGAACTTGCCCGATCCACGGCAACGAAGCTTCGTTATTAGTTTCATTGCTGGGAATCTGGACAAACCTGAGCAGGCTGTCAAAGGAGTCTTGAAGATGGGGAAGACATTCCTGGTAGATATGCTTGTCTTGAATAAGCAGTGCTACAAAGTGAGCGTAAGCAGAGATTTTTTTGCGCGTCGCTTCGGACAAGTCATCTGCCTCAATGTCCGACTGAAATGAAACCAAGCTTGTGACAAGCAGATTACACGCCGTTTCTCGAAAATCTCTGGCCCCTTGTTCAGAAAGTCTCTTCGTGGCACTTTTGAGCAACTCTGATAATTCCCAGGTCACATCGTAGTGGCTATTGATAATGTTCAGGCAACGTTCCACAAGATCTGCTCGAATTTGCTCGCGTTGCAGGTCCATCATGTCAATGGTGACCAGGGAATTTTGTTCTGCGGCAGCCTCTGAAACGGGCTCCTTGCCCTTGTTACTGGACGCTCTGAGTAGCGGGGGAGGATTCTCGTTCAAAGTTGGCCCAATCTCAATGCTATCGTTCTCAATACCCTGCATTTGACGGTTTTCATGCTCATCATCAGTAACGTTGGCTTGAACGGATGACCGTTGCGCATCTGGAGGTGAAGTTAATTCTGGTGACATAAGCTCTGTCTGTGAGACATTACTTAGGAGGTCCCAAAGCGATTGTCCAGTACCAACATCTGCAAGGGCATTCGTTGGAGTCGTCACCGAATTGGTGCTACCACTAACTTGGTTGGCACGCGCGGAGTTTTCCCCAGGGGTAGATGATCTTGGGGCTTCTGCTAATGGTGACTCGACTTCTGTTGAAGGGAGAGGATGGCGCTTCAGTCTGGGATTCTGAACGTAGGCCTTACAATATTCCTCGGCTGCCGTAGCTTGATTATTGCACCTAAAAAGAGCTTCTCGTGCAAGACCTTCCTCGTACCCTTTGGTTTCCAAGGTATTGAGTTTCTCTACGTTGTGTACGAATCTTTTTGGGGGATGTGTGGTGACCATAGGAGACTTTTCGCCGCTCTTGTAGGCTTCGTGCTCTTGATCCCCACTTAGTATGTGGCGAAGGATTACGATCAGCTTCTTTAGCACCACTTTTGAAGCCTGATCGGCATAAGGACTGTCCCAGATCGTGCGTACAAACGGAAGAGCTTCAAGCCGGAGTTCAAGCAGGAATTGTGCAGGGTTGAAGTGGTGTGGCTTTGACCGGTCCGAACTCTTGAAGGCATTAGATTGTGGAGACTCCACGATACATTTGGCTGAGGTAAGATGCCCCAATATTGATGTAATGCTTTCGAGCCCTCTGTTCGCCGTCATGGTCTCAACATTATCCGAAGATACTTGACAGGACTTGAGATCTTGATAGAACCATTCGCCGAGTCGCTTGAGCACAGTCATACCTCCTTGAGCTTTGAACGGTAAAGCCACTACAGTCAAGCAATGTGCATGGTCCGGTGTGGTATTAAGGTCGAACAAGACGTTGCTGCAACTCTTCAGTACCTCCACAAAATAGGGGAAACACAGGTCAGGAGACAGGCTATCTGGTGACGTAGACGTAAGATTCTTAGCAAAGGGTGGGTTGAGCTGATGGATAAGAGCGCCCGCGATTGAATTACCAACCATAACAGTAACTTCTTTTTGATACGCGTCCAATCGTTTTCTCCCAATGAGACCATGTCCAAGCTGACTGAAAAAATGGGTGATTGACTGAGGTAGCTGAGACAACAAACGACGGATAACTTTCAGGTTCTTAAAAGCGGCGGACTGCTCGTTCCCTTTCAAGTCTAATCCTGGGGATGTTATAGGAGCTTCTGTCCCATTGATTCCATGTGACGTGCGAACGACAGATCCAGGTCTTGGAGATCCGCTTGTATCCTCTGGTTCATGTGACTCGCTGTGCTCGTCCTCAGTCTGTTGCGCAGGCTCGTTCGGCTTGGTAGCGTCTTTCCATGGTTGTGGTACTCTTCTCTCCAAGGCTTTGCTTTCGCGGTAGCACGCGGCAGACAGACCACCAAGTCGCTGACATACATCAACGTACATATCTGCCAGGTTGACCTGCGAAAACGGCGCTGGCTGCTCTCGGTTTCGCGCATGATACATTGGGGAAGAGAAGACTTCTGACAAGATATTGACCAAGAGTTGCAGTACTACCATGTTCTTAGCAAAAGTAGTGCCGCCTTCACGAAGTGATCCTGGGGCAGCCTCAGCCGGGTGATCAGACACGGTAACAAGCGGATCAACATAACATGTTGAGTCACTAGCTTTTGTAGCTGCGAATGGTTCGAGGTTTTGAGATGTTGTCAATATCCGATCAAGCAAAGGAGGAAGAACAAGATGCGGTTTTGTCTCAGCCATCATGTGGACAACTTGGGCAAGCTCATGGGATACTCCTGAGCAATACGTCGAAGGAGAAATATCAAACGGCAGACTTTGGAGTGTGGCCAGGTCGAGAACGAGTCCAACTCCACCAGCATCCATGAATGCGGTACAAAGAGAAGGGTTCTCAAAAAGACCAACGAGAAATGATGTAACTGGGGTGAGATAGTCTGAAACTGTCAATCCCTCCTTGTCGGTATCGCTTGCTCCAGGCTGATCGGGGGGGGTTCCTGTGATATTTGTTGCTGCCAGCAGTCTTTTCCCGTTGGGCAACTGCATGTAGAATGGTTCGTCCTCTGGGCTATCAGGCTTCTGAAAGCTAGACACGACTTCTTTGACAAGTGTATCGCTGCCGCCAGCTACTTTGAGGTTGCCTTCTGTACTCCCAGACCATAGCTTTGCTCCAGCACCGATTTCCCACGCCTTCGATTTGCACAGATATCGGATCCGTGCTACCATCACAATGACTGCGCTCATGACTGCTGGCTTCAATGTCGGATGGTGTCGGACAAGTTCATCAAAAGAGTTGCCGAGAATCTGCAAAAAGCTTGAGTCCTTCATGACTTTTATGTGGGCGGGACTTTCGAATATCTCAAAGAATTTCTCCAAGGCACCAGATGATCGGAAGAAATACGAACCGGCAGCAGTAAGGCAAATAGCGCTAAATGCTTGGGATGTATTGGCGATGACTTCTGCCGCAGGGAGGATGCCTTGAGGGCTATTCTTAGGAATGCAAGAAACATCCCCACTTGCGGCATCGCCCTTGAGAAGCTTATCATGGACATGCGTCTGATTGTTCGATGCACCGCTTTCTGACGTTGGGGGATCAGGTGGATTGTCCTGAGGGACAGCAGGCAGCTCGAGCTTATCCACTCCCCTCAATGAACGAAGGACAATCGACTCCAGGAAACCTCTGCTCAGACCTGCTTCTGCGATAATCGTGTAACTTGTAGGTTCATTGTTGAGAAAAGTGCTCATCACCTTAACCACTTCACTCCATATATGAGCACCAAACAATGAGCCGTTCTCGACTACCACACGAAACGCTGTCAAAAGGGCCTGAGAGTCAATCAGACTTCGCAGTATCCTGTCCGCTTGAGCTCCTTGCTGCGTTATGACGCCGTGGATGAATGGTAAGATGGAGCGAATGGTTTGTTGATGTGTGTATGGCACATGGTAGTCAATCGATGGTGTCCGGAATTCAGCTGGAAAGCCTGTCCCTTTTTTGGCACTGTTTAGCGCATCTATGGCTTGATGATTTAAAAGGTCGATGACAGCTTCAAAGGCTTTGTTGTTTGAGAGAATAGCGAGGCCATCTTTGATATGGTGAAAGAACGCATCGAAGAAGTGCAAGACCTCAGTATAGATCCTCTGGGCTTTCCGCGTACGCAACGTCAAGAGATGAACGTACGACGAGATCAATTGAGGAGATGCGAAGACTTCACCAGATCGACTCGGAGGACTACTGGAGAGAAGTATGGCGTGTAGTAGAGAAAACAAAGACTCTCTCCCCTCATCGCCATCAGCATTGTTTGAGATGTCGGAGTCGACAACGACATCTTGCAGGGCCTTTTGAACAACGAACAGCAGTATGCCATGGTTCGCACTAACATTGAGAGCAGCGGTTACATCAGGCGCGGCACTTTTTTGCTTGGTCAGCGCTCGAAGCCCATTGATCGCACTAGTCTGCAGGTGCAGTGGAACATTTTCAGGTTCTCTGGATCCTAAGTGGAGCAAATCCGCTAACTGATACGCAAACTGCTGCCGTTTTGGCTGCTCTCGGTCATGCGTCAGGAATCGTTGTTGAAAGGTAGAGTCAGAGGATATGTAAGCTAAATTTGACACCGCAAGAATGCGGACGGCAAGAAGCTCTCGACGACTTTCGACGGCCCCAAGAAGGGCGTAAGCTACTCGGAGCTTGTGCAGAAGCTCATAGTAGGACGACCTTGGTACAATGGAGAGGCCTGATTCGAGAATATCTTCGATGGGGGAAGATAACAGCATTGATAGCGAGGGCTCAAATTTTTGAGGAGGGAGAGAGTTTGTGTTGGCTTGAGTTGATGTGGATGGACTGGCTCCAGTGGGAGAGTCATCAGACAATGTAACTCGATTGAGTTTTGACCCTTGGTTTGTTGACTGTCTCCGATGTGGACCTGGCGCTGGTTGGTCGGTCTGATCTCTTAGATCAGTGCTTCTTGTAGCTGCACCTCCGTTTGTTTCCATCGATACATCTGGCTGAAAGAGCACCTGAATTCGTGCCCAATCTTCCCAGCCATCTCTGCCACGGTAAGCTGTATCTGAGCGTTGCAAGGCAGCCTCTCCATTTGCAGGTGATGGAGCCCTGCTAAGAGATGCAAGGTCATTCGGATTTGGAGCCTCCTGGAGCTGACCATGCTTCTCCCTGCCTTTTGAATTCTTCACTGGAGAGCTAGGTGCAGATTTTCTTGATGGCATCAAAGATTGTGAGATTGGGGCCGCAAGACTTTGAATACGATCAAGGTTAAGACCATAGTGGGCTGATAGTGACGCAGGGTGGAAATGACTAGACCGGTGTCGAGCATGATATCTCTGTGCGAGGCACAAGGCTAAGCGCAGCGTGCTGTGCAGCAAGGACAGGGAGGTCGTGTTCAAAAGAGCATCAAGCCGTTCTCCAGAGTTGTAGAGACTTCGATTGCCGCATTTCTCCAGTAGCAACCTTGAGAAATCCAGAACAGACTCCACCAGCCTCCTGTCTCCATCTTCATTAAACCTAAGTTTTCTCAATCTTGCTTCAGCCTCAGCATCTTGGTTTTCTTCGCGCAGCAGAGTGTTCCCGAATTTCTTGGTTTGAGGCCCAGCTCCTAATCCGTAGAGTGCAATGAAATTCTCTAAGATCTCGTCGAAGCGGTTCAGAGGGACTATCCAGTGGTACAGATCGCCTCGTGGGAAGTCCCATCGCCTAGGGAATGAGTCGAGATGTGAGGGTAGCTCGATCAACGGGACGCTGGCCGCTTTCTGAACAAAATCTAATAAAGCGGGCGACTTCAAAGGTGAAAGGGGTCAGTATGATATATCCAATACGTTGGAGAGTGGTTATGGCTTACGATGGTAGCCTCATGCTTCGGACTCGCCGCCTTCTTGATCTTCCCCATCACGAAGGAAAGTCGCGTGTGGTTTGATCATGGGATGGCTGAATACCTGTGATTGTAAGTCAGAGGAGAGCCGAGGTGAGAAGTTTAGTTATGGTAATGAGGTCTTGGTTAAGTGTCAAAGATAGGGAGCTGGGAGCAACACAGCAGCTGCCCGTTGTTGAAGAGGTAGTTTCTTAATGATGTACAGAAACAATGAACTAGACTTGCGAACTCACGGAAGGCTCTGGAATTATTCCAATACAGGTGAGATCGTTCTCAGCGGTGAAGCGGATGAGAGTTTATCGTTTGGGTTGTGGTCTCTGGCCAGTAACAGGTAGATGTAATACTTGAGTCTTATTTTAATGCGGGTAAATGTTTGTGAATGTATTGCATCTTTTGCAAGTTCATCAGCTATTGTCAGTGATCGGTGACAAGCTTTCACGCAAGTTCAAGGTGAAGGTAATATGTAATCGCAAAATCGCGTTCCGCAGCCTACTTACCAAAATTCAGTGTCACGTCACAGGCTTCCGGCTACAGTTTCGAACACCTTATTCTGCCATCTACGTGAGAACACTACAGGGACCAAAAATAAGCTACTACATCCTTCGGAGGGCACAGGAGTAAGGACAAAAGTTTAGTTGATGAAGCTACTTATTGGAGTGTGAGATTCTGTCATATGCCAAAAGTGAATACCAAAGCCAGCCTGTCTCTCAACATCCAAGGTGCTCCTTGCCGAACTCCCGCATAAAGAAAGCATGATCTCAAACCCCTGCTGAGCAGCTGCGTCAACCCTCCTTCGCCCTTGTCTTCATCACTTCCTACTTCGCCAGAGGCGGCAGCTCTCCGTCCCACCTAACCTTCATCGTTGCTGGAAAAGGGACGTAACTACTTTGATCCGCGGTCATGTACTTGGTAAAGCCGTGTGGACTAGCAACCTTCTTGGTCTCGCCTTGCGGACCAGGAGCTCGCCGCAGGTTGTCAAGTTGACCGATTGTCTTCAGCATTGCGGTCATTGCGACCTTGCTCAGACCATAACCTAGGCACTGATGAGGTCCAATTCCATAGTGAATGTAGAGGTTCAGATCGCGATCCAACACAACCTCATGAGGATTGGAGAAGATGGCCGGATCCATGGAAGCCCCAACCTGAAAGGAATAAGACACGAAGACAAAATAATACGATGAGGCTTACCAGGCTACACAACACGCGCTGACCCTTCTCGATTTGGACCCTCGTGTTTCCATCTAGAATCTCTGTCGAGCTTGTAGCTTCGCGAGATAGACCGGCAGTAGATCTCATCCTGGAGCCTTCCATGAAGCTGGTCGTCGTTAGAGATTGTACAATTTAAAACAAGTTCTTGGCTGCTTACTAGTGGAGTAGGAGATCATCGGCTTCCACCGTGTTCACCTTAGATAGCCTGTTGATCTCTGGCAGGAGCATACTGCCTTCATCCGAGAGATAATAGTCGAGACACTGACAAAACAGTTGAGACTGATTTGCGACTATAGCGCCTACCGTAGGTAGAATATGGGTCCAAGCTAACTCCTTTGCAGGAATGCCACTAGCCAAAAGACGTTGAATCATGCGAGTGCCGTAGTCTGACAAGGAGTTATGGCGGTAGAATGATTCGAGCAGGTTTTGAAGAAAACCTGCTTTCTCGATGAAACGTACTTTCACTTCCATGAGCTTTCCGAGCTTTTGCGCAGCGCTCCTTGCCGCTCGTTTTAGCGGAAATGAATTCGCAGGGTCTACGTCGTAGAAGACGCTCGCGAACATGACTGCAATAAGCAGATATAGTTCTGTTTCTGCGAAAAGACCCCGGGGGTTCTCGTCGGTCTTCAGAGGCAATGAGAACATGATGGACGCAAAATGGACCTGTGCAAGATTCGAGATGTCTCTGACAATATCAACCTGATTTTCGTTGGCGATTTTGTAAGCATTTCGATGCAACAACTTCAGCGTGATTTGCTCAAAAAATTTGCTTAGGTCCTGTTCCCAGTTCATTGGGTACATGGCGGATTCCATCAGGTTTCGAGAACGAGCATTTCTTGGGCAATCACCCGAAAGCATGTAATCTGAACCATAAGATTTTCCGGCAACAGCGTCGTGCATCAAGAATTCGATTGCTTCACCCCAAACAACTTTGAAGTCAGTATTGTTCTCTAGAATTGATCTGCACGTAGGATATGAAGAGACAATAACCAAATCCGGTGTGGATGCAGGCTTGTCGAACGAGTAGTCCCCCACTTGACCTAGGTCCGAGAGAATGTCGTGGTTTTCGGCAGGTATGACCAGTGGATAATGGGCATAGATCGAGTCTTGACGGAAACTGCGTGGCAGTGCCCGCAGAATCAGTTTATAGAAAACGCACCCGAAGTCCACATTGAGGTCGTAATCCACAAGTGAGAAGCCAAAGTTAGTCAGCTGCTTTGGAGTGTAGTCGATTGTGTAGAAACGATCGCCTCTGACAAGAGCCACAGCATCGGACAATATTGCTCTCGATATGGTGTAAGTAGTACACAGTCCACTGCCTGGTTTGACTGGTTCCTTGGCTTCTTCGACGACAACCCCAGGATAGATCTCGACAGCGTTGGGATGATCATACAATCTTTTCAGTTGTTCTGCCACCACTGGATCCGGATTGATCTCCTCGAAAGTCTTGTGAGGCGCCAAGTTGAAATGCCGTCGGAATTCGTTCAAGCTAGCAAGATTCCAGGATCTAGCTTGCTGAATGCCCAGGACCTCAACAGCTCGAAGAACCGTGGGGACGTGGTTCGCCCCGAAAGCGCCGGCGCAGTCATCCACACCCTCCACAAAGATGGCAGCAAGATCTTCATCCTTATATCTACCGTTGGAGCACCGTTGCAATTTGGCGAAAGGTCGTTCGATAGGGTCTCGTGGTAATTTCCGCTCCCACTCACCCATGACCCTAATGAAGTCGTCCGTACTCACCTGCGCAGAGTCTTTGCCGGGAAACATTTGGCCGAAAAGGTCTTCGGACCACTTCTCGTCGCGCTGCGAAAGGCACGAGTGCCATCGGTAGACAAGATTAAATTCTGCAGAGACTTGATTACCCACTGCTTCTGCAGCGCCGCCATTGAGAAGGCTTTTGCCATTTTTAGAGCGTGGATCAAGGCTCCAAGAACTGGCGGTGCGGTTGAGATTAAGTATGGTTCTCACATAGTCCTTAAACACAAGTTAGATCATTCATATACGGATATGTGTCATACCTTGAGGATGATGTTTACGTAAAGGCCACACGTAATCAGTCTGCCTGTTTGAAAGAGGTTGTCGTCATACCTAGCCCATTCGTCCTCTTTTGAAGAGTCTATTGGCTTGGTGAAACGTCCATTCTCGTTGATCAGTGCTAGTTGTTCCACTGTATAATTGTGAAATCTGTTGAACATTATAACCAAAACACCTACTCCAGGCGGGAAGCCATGAAGCCGTTTCTCCGAGAAGGTGTCGGGTTTAATTTTGCCATCCTTGAACGTTCGCATTAGGTTCTGTTCTTCTTGGTTACTACCGTAGAGCGGAGCAAGGTCCAGATAGGATGATGTGTTAGTACTGCTGGGGTCTTTGTGACTAGTCTTGAAGAGGTCGTGGATAATGATCGAGGCCAGGTGGAATAGTACGCTTGAGATCTTGTTAGGGTGAGGCTTGAAGGATTTCCTTGCCATCACGCTGTCGAACACGACACCGGGATCCGGCAGGCCAATAGGCTGCATTGTTTCAGGGCGCACAGTACGTGCGTATGGACTGCCTGCAGCTCCAAGACGGGGATACAAGAGGTTATTGTTCGATCCGTCTGCGTTGCGATACTGCTGGTCGGGCCCAAGGCCAGAGATTGGAGGATGGCCTAAGTCATTCCACAACTTTGTCAAAAAGCCATTTGTCAAGCCAATACCAGCCTTTGATTCGAGGGGTAGTTCCGCAGCCAGTTGAATTACCCTTTCCATAATGTACGTCCTGTCGTCGACAAGACCACCTTCCAAGCCCTCTAGAAGCATATCTTTCAAAGTGTGCATATTGCGAACACTGAGATGTTTCACACCGGAGAGCACACTTGCTTTTGCTGTCTTATCTGGCAGATAGGTATTATCACCTGTCTGACTGGGAAGTGGACGGAATGAGGCGTGTAGAGCACTGCTAATCTGTGCTAGAGCACTCTCAATATCCGCTCTGCTAGGAATACTGCTGCTTATCGGCGCGGCCATTGTGACTTTGTTCCAGGATTAGGTCTTGATGCACGACTTTAATCGTTCGTGGATCCGATTGTTAGTGAGCGAAACAATTTGACTGTAAGATGAAGTGGTTTTATGGGGTGGGGTTCAGCAGCCTGATGGCCTTCTTTATAGGGTTAAGAATAAGGAATGGATATAAGCGGATCATAGGGTGAATGATTTGCGACCGGAATAATGACGTGGATAGTCAAAATTGAGCGGCAGTAGGGTTCGAGAAGGAGGTAATCGGATATCCAAGGATGTATGCGGATCCCATGATATTACGTGCTGTGAAATTGAATGAATAGGAAGGAGCCTCCCTGAATGCCCTGCAATATAATGAACGCTGGAAGACCGATTGATGAGCTAGGGATCAACATATAGATTAGAAATATTGGTTCTTTTACCTCTTCTTCTCGCTCATCCAGTTCCCAAGCTCCATAGCTCTGACTTCGGGAGTACAGAGCAATATAGTTTCTTTCCTAGACGAGTAGCAGGTGCTATGTGCGATGCCTTGGGGATATTTAGAAGAAGAACTCTTACTGGCAAAAGGTGGCCTGAGCAGCAAGTCGAAAGCCGTAGTAATCCAATATGAACGCCGTCTATTGCCATTGATTCCACCAGAACAGCTAGGAAATTGGATCGCCTTCCCAGAGGTCGAAGAGCTGGAAGATGTCACGTCGTATTGTGATTGGTAGCTACTTTAAGATTTAGTATCTATTTCGTAGGCAGGTTGTTAAAGCAAGTTAGTCCCACCAAGAGGGTGGTGCTCATAACCATTCCTATAACTTAGTACTTATAAGCCCACCTTTTTAGGCATGCTGTAAGAGCTCTTTCAGCGGCAGCTTTTGATCATGCTACTCTCATGATCGTGAAAACCAAAGATCCAGGAAGGGTTCTTCAGATTGAAATGATGTGATGGCCTTGACCTGTAAAAGTGAGAATAGCGCTATAACCTACCGGCTACATTTCAGGCCTGCAACGATATTGCTACCCTTTGATAGAATTGTCTGAGAATTGCTTGTAAGAAAGGTGCGTGCAGGTCTAAATCGGGAGTTCATGTACTGACAGAAACCTCTTTACGTGTTGAGCTGGACATAAGAAGGTGAGTCAATGGCGCCAGGAGCAAAGACATCAAGTGGACCTGGCCTGGGCCTGAGCCCTAGCAGTAGTAGTATGTAAACAACTTGATCGGTGTTTGCCCCTGGCATGACATACACTGACAGATCAGCTGGTATGTAACCGCGTGTCACTTTTGCTTATCTTTTTCGTTATTTTTGTTGACCTGTAACATGCCAAGAGTGTCACTAAAACTTACCGGGACAAGGGCTCTGAAAATGACGCAGTATTTGTCCTTCCTACGTAGTGATTTAGCGCACGTTTTATTATTCTAAGGATCGTCAGGAAACTCAAATGACCATAACTTAGCCATAATTTGACTGTCATTTTCTCAAAATGACGACTAAAATAATATAATTCTATTAGATTTCAGATGTCTAGCTGCACAATTTTATGTAAACTAGATTATATCACGGTTAGACTGAAAACTAAGCACACATAGATGATAATTTAAGCATAGTTTTCAGAGGGCCTTCTCCTGCTACTAAGTTGAAGTTCATTACATGCCTTGAGCCTCGGCTCTGGCCCGGAAGCCCGCAACCTGGTCCCCCTTACTACGTACGTGCGTACACGGTCTCAGAGCATTGTAAGGCGATACTACTATAATATCATCTCATCATCGGATTAGCGCAAACCTCAACCACCAATTTGATTTGGACACAGTCTGCAAACGGGCTAGTCTCACCTGGTGTCCGTTGTAACGTAGCCTGTTGTATTCCAAACCGAAATTATCCTGGAGTGACAGGCACCATGGGCTTGGAATCCATTACAATACTTTTGCGACCTCGAGGTAGCATGAGAACCCGCTTTGCCAGGAGCAATACTGACTCAAAAGAAAGGAAACCCCATTCGAAATCTGCCTGAGCAGCTCAGCGTTACCAGTGACGCACCCACCGCAGATCTCTACAACAAAATCGCCCAATCATCGCGATTGTCGATTCACCAGCTCAGGATCACGAGAGGCAGTGATGGCAGTGTGGTCGCCAACTCGACGGATATATCTATCAATTCGACGGGGCTTCGGGATCAGAGTACAGTGTACGTGAAGGACTTGGGCCCACAGATTGCCTGGCGAACGGTCTTTGTCGTCGAGTACTTTGGTCCACTTTTGATCCACCCGCTTGTCTACCTGCTTCGTCCGTACCTTTATCGCACCGCCCCCAACCAGGGTTCATACCTACAGGAGCTATCATGCATCCTGATTTGTGCCCACTTCTTAAAAAGAGAATTGGAAACACTTTTCGTCCACCGCTTTTCCGCAAGTACGATGCCGGCAAGGAATATCTTCAAGAACAGCTTCCACTACTGGGTGTTGGCCGGTCTTAATATTGCTGCTTGGATATACGCACCTAACTCAACAACCGCGAAAGAGCCGAATACACTGCTGCTCTACGGAGGCCTTCTTGCCTACACAATCGGGGAGCTGGGCAATCTCTATGCGCATCTAGTACTACGTGGCCTACGTAGCTCTGGTGGAAGGGAGAGAGGTATTCCTCATGGCCTTGGATTCAACATCGTGACATGTCCAAATTACATGTTCGAGGTCATTTCATGGATTGGCATGTACCTTGTCAGCGGGCTCAGTTCCAGTGTTTTACTATTTACGATTGTGTCCACAGCACAAATGATGTCATGGGCGAAAAAGAAGGAGAGAAATTATAGGAAAGAGTTTGGAGATAAGTACAAAAGGAAGAGGTTCACGATGTTACCAGGAATTTGGTAGCCCAGAGGACTCAGTCTTTGCGTGACGGGTCTTTGCATATCTTGAACTGAGGTGTTCACTTCTTTCAGTGACATTCCAACTGCGCATGTGAAAGGCGTATGCTTGGGACATCTTTCGTGGCAGAAAGGATTCTTAGAATACGCTGTTGCGATAGATAGCTTTTTGCAAATAGACTACTCCGTACATGCCAGTACCTTCAATATAATGGCGGGTGCCAATATCAAAGATCGTCAGGGCCTTTTTCTTTAGGTGCTGTGAATGCATAAAAGACCAAGCCTACTCGAGTATTTCCGCTTCCAATCATACTTGTTAGTAATCTTAGCTCCATAAGCTGTGCTACTACAAATGCCCCTTCAGAAGTCTGACCACTAACTAGCGAACGTTTCAGAAGGTGTTCTCATGCACTGGATAGATACTTATCCCTCTAATTGCTTTTGCGACAAAGTCCGCAAACAGCATCAATGGAACCAGTTGTGTAGATCTAGGTGCGCGGAGCCTTTCCATGCTTGTATGGTAATATCAGACCCTGCCGCTACGGGTACCCTCCAATCTAGTGCAAAATCACGGTATTCCTGGTTAGGCACTAGCCTTATACCGTAACGAGCAGGTAGATGACCGTGGCCGTATGAGAGGGTTTTATCAACCAAGGGAAATGATCGCTGATTTGCATCAGATCTTGGAGGATAGATGAAACGAACCTACCCACCGTAGTACCGCTGCTAGCGTGCATCAAGACGAGTTGTTAGATTGTTGTATTATGTGTGACAATCTGCAGGAGATACGTAGAAAGCAAGTTGTTTTATCTAGCTAGAGGGGGGGAAACGTGCGTAGATATACGTACAAATCGGCTGTAGGGCACAGCGAAATGCAGGCCAAATAGACTAATCAAGCGCAGCCGAAATGCAAGGGCTTCGCGTAGAAATTCCAACCAATCAGCGCTCATATAGTTCGACATATTGTCAAGAAGAACATTAGTCAGGGCCGAGAGATCATGTTGAGCGTTGCTACCACTGTGGAAGTGAGTTGAAATAGCAAGTTGTTCTATCTAAATGAGTGCGCAGAGTGCGTATTTATACGTACAGATGCTGCTAGCGCGAAACGCAGATACCAAAAATACATGCTAATCTTATGGGAAACGCGTATTAGATCTGTAACAAAACGTATATGAAACCCATGGTCAAACGGCACTCAAACAGTTCAACAGCTCAGAACCTGTTGATTTCGGCCATTGAAGAGCTACACGTTGACTGAAGAGCAGATTGATACAGGTTACGAATATATTATTTGTACCGGCGGATGGCCTAATCCATCCGCCTATGCCTTTGTTGTGCCCTCGATGAGCTATAAAATCAGTACCTAGAACCTCATGCCAACAGCACCGGCGGCAAAGTTTTGTTCCATTGTAGGCTTAATCAGGATGGTGCGGTCGACTGGTTTGCAGGATTCCATCGGACCGCTTTCCCTGTCTGCGAACAGTGAGTGGATTGGCCACTATTTCGTATTTCTGTGTATGGAGTTGTTGTCGACCTCTGCACTTTTTGGTCTGGTATATGAAGCTTGTAGTAACGATCTATTAGCTGTAATGACGAGGAGGGTCAATGTAGCGCTGCACATTCATACCTAGATATCACAAGGGTGCCAGCAAGTCCGACCGCAACACCAATACCAGCCTTTCCGGCTATCGTAAGATCTGTTGATTGTTACAAACGTATGTTAGTTGAGCTTTAACAATTGTAAAAGAGTGCAACAGATCACTGAAGTCAAGCAAGTGATATAAAGGCCCTTACCAGAAACACCTCGGCCGGTAGGTTGAGCAGAAACCGTGGGTGATTGCCCACCGGACGTCGCGGGGGTTGGAAAGTTAGAGTCGGAAGTTACGACCGTGGGAAGGTTAGAGTCGGACGTCGCGGGGGGTGGAAGGTTAGAATCGGACGTCGCGGGGGTTGGAAAGTTAGAATCGGACAGTGTGGTGGTGGAGGTGGTGGTGTTGCTCGTCACAGTTGTAAAGGACGTCATGAAGGTAGACTCGGTCGGGGAGGAGACTGACAAAATTAAAGTTGAGTCGGAGAACACACTTGACGAGGAGGAGGTGATATCAATGGCTTGTGAATTGACCATGTGTGTCGAAAGCAGAAGGATCATGTATAGTGAGAACGACAGCAACTGTGAACAAACATACTCCATGGTTGAGCCTGTCAAGACAGGTCGATCAATCCTACGTTGGTGATTGTCTTGAGATAACAATTAATTAATGTAGCTTCTTGAATTGCTCCTCGATAGGGGTGGCCTCGTCGCCGTGTTTGCCTCAGTCCCTCAGCCATGGCTTATGGCGCAGCTAACTACTAACTACTGAGTAGAGGCGTGTGAGACCATATCTGCATCGTCAACGACTAGCCCATTTCGAGCATGGCGTGTGTGGCTGTGTCCACTAAGCCTGCCTGAGGGACCTGGGCAACGCCGTATTAGTCAGTGAGGGGTACATCAATTAAGTGTGGTTCGAAACCCACAAGCGCTGTCCTTTTGGCGGAGTGGTTGATGTATCCCTTTTCTGTATTTACGGTGATATACTGCTGACTTAACTGATTGGCTTATGCAACACACCTACTTGCGCAACAAATTTCGACTGATTCAAGCTGGTAAAGCTTCTTAGCGTTCCAAGTCAGGCAGTGTTGCGTAGTTAGCGTGTTGTGTAAGTTAATCAACTACTACAGTAGGAGGCATAAGTATTGTTAGCGTGAGCTGGTTAGAGCTAGTTTCAATACAAGAGTCCAGAGTCCTCCGGAGCCATTGTAAGTGTCAACCCTCACTAATCCTGATGATTGGCTTTGTTCTGAGAACTCTGCAGACTAATATGGTTACAGTAAAGTGCATTTGTATTAAGGCTGTGTTAAATACAAAATTTCTAGCTTGAAGCTAACAATACTACGGCTACAGGCCGAATTTTTGCACCCCCCCTGGTCGAAAACGCTAGTATTCGTACAAAACCTACTATGCAGAATTAAGTATAGATGTACACAAAATCGCCCAATTAAGACTAGTCTCTAAAATCGAGTTTGTTTTCCATTGGCATCCAAAACTGCTTGACATCTCTCCTGCATTGACTCAAGCAACTCCTTGAGATATTCAGGGGGTACAGCATCCCATGCAGCATTAATAGCTGTTCGTAGCTCATCGTACTTATGCAGAGTATCTCCATAGCGCTCTTGTATCCAATCCTTCATCCAATTCCATACCATCTCAATTGGATTCAAATCAGGCGAATATGCAGGCCATTGGATACAAGATATGCCACGTTGACGAAGATCTCGAATAGTACCCTTAGCAGCATGAGCAGGTGCAGCATCTTGCATAAATATCAATCCTTCGCTGCTATTTGTTCGTATCCAATTCTCAATAAAAGGTACGATATGCTCTCGATATGTTGTTTCTTTGATAGTACCCCATTCTTTCTCCCAAAAGATACCAGGACCTTTTCTATCACCATTGAAACAACCCCAAAACATCCATCCTTTACGTCGTTGATGACGTTCAATAATACACGTAGGATCCCACTCTTCGCACTCCATAGTATCTTTTTCCATTGTTCATACGTCCAATTCGCATGCTCAGAGGCCCATTGAAAACGTGCTTTTCGAGTCTTTTCAGAAATAGGAGGTTTACAGCGAGCAACTCAACGCGCAAAGCCTGCTCTTCGTAGAGCATTTCGAATGGCATACCATCCAATATTGATCTTCATAGCAAGAGCGGAAGGAAGTAGAGCAGTATCCCTCCAGCGCGATTGCGAGTTGCAACTGAATGTCGCCCAGTGTGCTTTTTAGGTGTTAATCGATTGCGAATAGCATATTTGATTTGATATCGAGTAAGATTGGGCAACTGCTGAAGAATTTCGTTGTACGTATAGCCTGCGTTGTGTAGAGTTTGGATTTGTAAACGTTGATCTCGAGTAGGATGAGAGGAATGAGGAGGAGTAGAGGGTCTATTAGACTCATTAGTATCCATATTGAATTAATAAAATGAGTAGAATTTGCAGAATTTGCAGAATGAACAAAATTCGTGCAAAATAGCGACAGGGATGCTGACAGGGATACGTATGTAAAAAAGGCGTATGTAAGATATTTTGACCATGGGGGGGGTGCAAAAATTCGGCCTGATACCGTAGTACTTATGCCTCCTGCCGTAGTACGCCTGTATATCTCATGATATATTTCAGCTAGAGCTATTCCGGCCATAGCTTTTTGGTTTAACTTCACATGAAAGTGAGCCAGTCTCCACGGCTCCCGCATTAAACGAGATACCTTGTCTTGCGGCCCAGTATTTATTAAAGGTTAGCCACGATTCAATGACTTACTAGTACAGAAGCTCAGGATCAAGTCGAGCAGTATTAACTTTTTCCTTTTAGTAATCTGGCACGATAAGAATGGATGATCGTTGTGGACTTTTCGCCTCGCGGACCAGCTTTGCCAGCTATGTGGAGCTGATGCAGAATTGGACATCGAACAATTTAACAGCCTTAACACCATGTAGAAAAGAGATCTGCTCGGCTCCGTGGGGAAGCGGGAATCCGGATATATCTGGCGTTGGGGTTTGTTGATCATCCTCCCATATAAAGAAAATGCTGATGGCCTCTAGGTGATTATCGCATATGCCATGGAGCTTTATCTAGGCATTTTGCTTTCGACTGGCGTACTATTCATACAACCATCATCAGAAAAGGGATTCAACAGGTCAATCCATCAAGCATTCCACACTTATGCAGATGCCGCTGTCATCTTCACGTTCTCAATTCAACTCGCGTCCGTGATCCTTCTAGCCAGGAAGGACTTCGGCGTCAGTGCTTAAGGACTTGGTGGCTACACTGTCGAGATAGCCTGGTGTGCGGCGTTGTTAACAATGCTTCCAGCAACGCTTCTATGCTTTGTCCATACAGGGCTACGGCGTCATAACGTTACGGTCGGGTACAATATGTGTCTCATGGGTTCTCTTCATGTATACCTTTGTCGCTCGTATGATTGCGGTCTTTGGCCCTGGTCAGGTCAGCTCCTCGGAAGACGCCGTGATTGCTCTAAGTCAGTGGGAAATCATTGTCCAAATGTGCTTCGGAGGAGCAGAAGAGCTGTCGGCTTCCCAGCGGAGAGTAATGGATTGTTTTTCTATTGGCGGATCCCTCCTTATTTCGTTGATGATCCTCGCATTACTGGTAGGGCCATTCTTCGAGGGAAAGAAGGAAACATTATATATTCGGAAATTGTCCAACATAATTTTTCGACGGCTTCCGAGAAATACTGTTAAAACCGCATTAGTCATCAATCTCGCTCTGTGGGGGACTCTACAAATTTGGGCAATCTCTTGCTTCCGGACCGTTCAGGCCAGTCTAGCAAGATCGGTCAATGATGTCAACTTGGATAACAACTGGAGCTTTGGCCAGATTATTTCGGTTGTCATCTTTCTGCCAGTATTCATCGACTTTGCTTACTCCTTTCTGTTCAAGGAAGCAGATGTTTATTTAGATTGATCTCGAGATTTAAGTTGACCAACGTGAGGTTCAGCGAGCGAGCGACTTCTACATCAGTCTGGCCCAGTAGGGGCTCTTCAGAGCAGCCTGACTGATCTGTGAGGTATCTGGACTTGCCTTATCTCGAATTGATAAGCGAACCACCTTAGCGTTTACTTGATATACATAGCAACAAATACATCCTTTAGGTACGCTATTTAGCGATTTTTTGCTCATTGGCTATTCCAAATTCCGGACTGCTTAGATACCCCAGACACCAGGAATTTCGGATATCTAAACGTTTGTCTGAAGCGATGCATTTTGTGGAGATAGTATATGTGTGGTCGCCATTCACTAAGCAAGCTTGATCGCAGGACTTAATTCTGGAAGCAGCCCCTTCTAGAAGCAGCAGATCAGTTCAGGTACCCCCTTACAAATGAAAGGGATAACTTAGAAAAGAGTCATTTTTGGATGTGGCAAGTTGTGTTTACACATTCAATGACAGGCATTCTTCTCAATGAGAGGCTCATTTAAGTTGTGACCATTCTCAGGTAAAAGATCCAGTATATTGGGAAAAGGGGTCTTCCGTAAGATGCTCTTCCTACCAGCATGGAGTAGTATTTGTTAGTCTCTTACGAAACGCATAAGGCAATGGCATAACCATGCGTTTCCATGCGTTACAAATAGTGCAAGAAAGACAAAGGCAGCTAAACAAAAGTTACAAAGGTGGAATTGAACTTTTCTTATGAGCCTAGTCGTTTTTGATGACCAGGTGCTCTGCCATTGCTGGTACTAACTAGTAGTTAGTCAGGCAGCATCATTCTGATGGCTACTCACTGCAGGGTGAGCCTGGCGCAGAAATGGGCTAATTCAGGTCTTGGCTTCGACTTCCGGCCCAAGGCTGCTACAGCAGAGTAGTAGTAGGAGCCCGTACCAGAGACCGGAAGACCTAAAAAGGTTCAACTAACCAACTAAAAGGGTGAGCATCGCAGTCAAGATAGCAGCATGACTGAGTGAATATGCATTTTGCACTTCCTCCTCGCAAGACATCGCAACCGCCTCCGTACGCCAGAGCCTCTCGCAAGACTTCATACTTTAGACAGCAACAGTTGAGGCTTGTTGGATATATTGTCTGCGGCATCCTCACAATCTACCTACTGTTTCATTACGTTTCCTTCTCAGATGCATTGGTGGAGTCCGCACCTCCTGGTACACCACCCGTCGTGATTGTCACAGTCCTAGACGAACAGCACATGAGTGATGAATATATCACAAACATTAGAGCTAATCGCAAAGACTATGCGGCGCGTCAAGGTCGGCGTGATTCTCTTCAGTGGCTGGCACGGTACTGTTGTTAACTCCACCTATCTCAGGCTACGAGAACTTCTTTACCAGCGTTGCCAACTACACCCGCTACACAGAACCGTCACCCTCTTCATGGACCCTGATTCCTGCTCTCCGCCACGCCCTCACGAAATACCCGCACAGCACCCATTTCTTCTCCCTCTCACCCTACGCTCTAATCATGTCACCCTCTCTTTCGCTTGAGGAACATGTTCTTGCACCTGCTAAACTCGAATCTGTTATGCGAAAAGATGTACCCGTTGTCCCTCCCGATTCTGTCATACATACTTTCAGCCATTTGAAGGGCAACAAAGTGGACCTTGTTCTGACGCAAGACACGGAAAATCTGGGCCACGGTAGCTTTATCTTGAGAAGAGGGGAATGGGCCAAATTCTTCCTTGATACATGGTTCAATCCGCTGTATCGTACATACAATTTTCAAAAAGCAGAAGGACATGCTCTAGTGCGAACCACCTACCTTTTTCTTCTACAGATCAGCTAATGACTACCTTGCAGGAGCATATTGTGCAATGGCATCCCACCATTCTAGCGAAGATGGCTCTGGTACCACAACGACTCATGAATAGTTATAGCGTTGATGTTCGTCCTGCCCAGGGCAAAGACAATGATCAACTCCAAACACACAACGCCTTGTTTCAAGATGGGGATCTATTGGTTCACTTCTATGGCTGCAGAGCGGCACCCGAGAGGGACTGTGAAAGGGAAATGAAGCCATATTATGAAGATTGGCAGAGAGAAGTCCAGAGATTGGATGGTAAGCAACCTTTGTGATGCCCTGTTCGTTCTAGCTCTAGGAGGCTCGAGCTCTGCTACCTAGCAGAACGCATGCACCGACTCGTGCGGAGTTCACTTGGAGCTGGTTTCCATCTTGTTCAACAGCACTAGTCAAGCCATCATTGCAAGCCTGGGTCCGAATGGTGTTCCCTGGTCGTAGGAGCATGCGTGCATTTTGCTTCATCCTTGTGCCTCGATATCCAAGATAATGAAGGACAAGGGGAAATGGTATACATGCCACAGTACCTCATCCTGGTTGGGGATTAAGTATGCGGCTCTTATTCCCGGTCTACCTGATAGAACTTTAATTGATTCTGCTGAGAGTATGATTCGAAATCTCATCTATTTGATGTTTCAGGAGTCAAGAGCAAATTACTCCCCGAGACATGAACGCCAAGTCACCTGCTTCTATTTCAAAATATGCCGCTATGCGGCCATGATGTAGCCATGTATCCGTTGCTGGGCAGGACGATGTCAAAAGTGGTACGTCTCCTAATTGCCGTCTCTTGTGGTGATCGGCCATTAGTTTTGTTCTTGTGCACTGCTGCCATCTCGTATCAAATGCCGAATGAGTTTTACCAGAGCCAATACGCTGTCTTACCGAAACCAGCGTTTGGACTTGTCAACAATTGCAAGTAGATCCTTACCGTATAGTGACCTCTTTTAGGACACGAAAATTCTGTCTTAAATTGCAGTCTTCTTGGATTGCACTTTCACATCCAAGACCGTTTAGTTTAAAGACACTGACCGCCATCCTAACGGGAGTGATCCACGGATACTTCCCTTCTACCTTTGGGCTTCCCGAGACACGAGGCGAAGCATGCTAAGGGAGATCAGTCTATGGCCAACCCTTGGCTACTTGCCATGGGAATACCTTGTCTACTCTTCGAGCAGCATGCACAGCTACAGGTCAAGCTAACAGTAATTCTTGTTGTCAAGGCAAGTGGACATACGATAGTATCCGTACGACAGCTCCGACGCTGATGGATTGCAATGAAATGTTCTTTGTCTCGACCCACATTCCTCATCACATTGTTGCAGCTGACCAGCGATTGGCTTTCCTCCATGGATACCTTTCCGCAAGCGGCCGGTGCAAGAACAAAGAAAGCAGAGTCATTACGCAGCTCTACGAAAAGACCACCTACGGTTCCCGCTTGGAAGTGCATCACATCACTGCAATTGTTTGCACGATGTTTTAGAGGTACCTAGAGACAAAGGAAGCAGACAGAGGTAGTAAAAGGAGATGAAGAACGTATCTACAAAGCACTTCTCCTTGCCTTGCTGCTCTGTTTTCATTCGCCCAGCTTACATTTGCCGTTGCCAGAGGAATTGAAGCTCAAAGAATTCTTTCATTGCCCATTATTCTTTCGGCCCTTATGACTGCTTCCATGTCGGGCCATCCCCTTTCCTGGGACCGAGTTCTGCCTGCGCCTTCTGCTTTGTTGAATGCCAACGCAAATGATCTACTACCCAGACGCAGTTCTTCTCTTCTCCAGCACCATCTCTTTTCCCCTAAGCATCTGCCTGAGAGCCCGAGAGATCGGAGAAGCACAGTCCCCAGCATTGCGTACCAAGTTAATAACAGAATCAACCTAATCCCATCAATACCACTCCGCGCTTCTCAGGATCTCTTCGCCTCTGGTGAGCTTGCAACAGGGCCAGTGACAAGGAAACGTGCTGCATCATTGATGGCAGACGAGCCGGAAGCAAGAGAAACGTCCCCAGCTACCACGCACGACTCAAATCCCGAAACAACTAATCAATTCTGTCTCTGCCAGCCAGACCCCAAGATTCCGAGGCCAAGGAACGGTATGTTCTTGACTTCCTCATTGTGTCAGTGCGACAGCTCCCTAATTCGGCTGTTCGGCTCTTTGTTGTCCTCAGCTCTTTGTGCGAATGTTAGCTAATGCTTCGCATAGCCTTTATTCTTTACCGCCAGCATCACCAGGCCGCTGTTGTCGCAAAGCATCCAGGGCTTCCCAATCCTGAAATATCTAAGATTATTGGAGAGGAGTGGAGAGCACTTCCTACAAAGACCAAAAACCAGTGGAAAGCTCTTGCAGAAGTAGGTCTGACCACGATCGATACCATGTACCACTGTGTGCTGACTATTTCAACCCGTAGGAGGAAAAGCTTCGGCACCAACAGCAGTACCCAGATTACCGCTATCAACCACGAAGATTTGGACGCAACGGCAATCCGCAGACTATATCTACCATCAATTCAACTGGACCAAGTGGGAATTGTCTTCGCTGCGGCGGCAAAACCATGAATCCACCTGTGACGCCCAATACGCCTCTGTTCCCGAATGGAGGTCCTTCCGCAGGCATGATCCGCTCACCTTCTACCGTCAACACTGTCGCGGGCCAGCCATCGCGGCGACCCCATCCACTAGCACATGCAAATCTTCACCGTCAAGTACCTTACACGGTCTCCAGTCCACCCCCACCTGGGTCCGCACTGGCGCGCGTTCGGCCATTTAGCGAAGTCTTTGCTGGTGGTGTGCCTCCATCCATGTCAGAGGCAGAATACCGAGCTCGCTTTGCCAAACAGCCCATGTCGCCAGATCCCAAGCGCAGACGCTTCAATGGACCCGGGGTGATGGTCCCACCTCGAGGAGCAGATCTGACCAGTCCGACCGCCGCCTATTCCGGTGGACCTCCTTATTCGCCACGAAGAGTATCACTACCTCGACCAGCAGATGGAGTCATGCATCCAGTGCACCAAAGAGCGGTGGCTCAAAGCAAGGCACAACGATCCAACTATCCCCCTCAGCAGCCGCGATATGCTTCGGTTGATGTACGGGATCCCAATTTGACGCTGGCACCACTGCGAACGCCTAGTTCTGCTGCAGCTTCGGCAGCCTCGACCGGATCGAAAAGCACGAGCAGTGGAGCCACCGCGGAGGCCCAGATCATGTCGATACCCGCAGTCAACAAACTCCGCTTACTCGCTAAGGCTGCGCCGCCACTCCCCCACCCAGGTGTCATTCCCACGGCAAAATCACCTCTCATGACTTCTCACTCGGAGACTCGAGGAGCAATACTTGCCATCGAAGGCTCAGAAGAAGACGTTCGTGTCGTGACTGATTGGCTTGCCGAGTTTCTGAGGAACGAGAGTGAAGAGTTCATCGTCCGGGCATTTCTGGGTCCAGATATCAGTAGCGTGATGGCCGAAGCAAGCGGCGAGGACGAGGCCGACATGGTGGGAACACAACAGCAAAGATACCTCAAAACGATCAGTGAGTGGCATTGGGTGAGTAAGGAGGTGGTCAAGTTCGTCACGACAGCACCGAAGGCGGGTATCAGAACTCACAACGCTGATAGTGGCGCCGAAGAGCGCAGACACAAGGACAGGAACAACCAAGACGATGGAATGGAAATGGACGCGGCCTCCAGCTCCTCACCAACCTCAGCCGTCTCCCCGCGAACCATCACGCAAACCGAACGACTCAGCCTGAAAAGCCCAATCACAATCAACGATCACGCCCTAAACACCTCCCCTCCACCACCACCGCCACCACCCCCAACAGCCGCCGCACCAACCCCTCCTCCTCCCTCACCATCACCCACCCACCAGCAAAATACTCCTCCTAACCAGCCCCAAACCCAAGCCCAAGCCCAGTCCCAGTCCCAGACCTTCCCCATAGCCCTCCTACCCCGCTACCAACTCTCCACCGTCGACACCGCCTCGCTCACCATGCCCATCACCGACTCCTACCTGCCCATCGACCACTGGCAATGGGCCGCCGCACTCTGGCGCGGCTGCGTCGGCGCCGACGTCACCATCGTCATCCAAGACGACCGAGGCAGCGGGAACTACGGATCCGCTTCCAGCGTCGGGAGCGGTTCCAACGCGGCGGCGGGGAGCGTGGGGTCCGGGAACGGGAGCGCTGCCGGGTTGAGCGGTGGAGGAGGAGGAGTCGAGGTCAGGCTTGGAGCCGGCGATGTGCGCGCCGTGATCGTCAGGAAGGGTGCTGTGGGTGGTGGTGGTGGGGGGGCCGCGAATGCAGGCGAGAGGAGGGGGGTGGAGCCTGGCGCGTGTTGAGGAGGTTGGGTTTTGAGATTGTGGAGTTTTTGAGACGGTGAGGTGGTTAGCTGGTTGGGATGGGGGAAGAAAGGACGCTTTTGAGGCGGTTGGAATTGGAATTGGAATTGGAGTTGAAATTGGAATGCGGTGAATGAACCGTTGGTGTGGAAGTGCGATGGAGAAGAGAAGTAAAGAGAAGCGAAGAGAAAAGCGCTGCGTGTAATTTTAGCAGTTTGTGGTTTGATCTGCCTATCTATCTATCTATACCATACTATTATTACTTGGATGAAGATAGACATAGAATAACTCTGAGAAACAGTCAACTCCCTACGCTTGACTGGACTGGACTGGAATCGGATGCGTTGATCTGCGTCGTGTCCTTCATAATGAGTGACATTAACACTGAATATCAAGCATTGCTCTCCGAAACTGAAACTGCCATGGGCTCCCTCGCACATCAAGGCCCAGCTGGCCCCTGCTGCTGCTGCTGCTGCTGCTGCTGCTGCTGTGAAAGCCAGGGTAGAGATGTCTTGACTTGCACCTCTTGTCAGAGGGGCCTCAGGGTCAGAAAAAATATCGCTACATCGCTCCAACGCTCCACATCTGTGTCGTATATCCTAAGGCGGGAACCTCAACCCTAATATCTCAGCGTTCTAGAATCTACAGATCCGATGCAGTCCCAACTCCGAAGAAGACCGACGATGAAACAGCACAAGAGCATGCTTGTGAACATCGACTCTCTGATTCCTCCAAGGAGCCTGCTGCCGGCATACATACAGAATACATAAATTCACACCTCCAGCCCCATCCCCCTCGCAATCTTCTCCCTCAAAACCTTCTTCTTGAACCCCTCCCGACTCAGCTCCCTCGTCTTTCTGGCCCAAACATCCACACCGATCCTCCCCCTCGTCAACGCAGCCTGCAGCGCCCATATCGCTGCCTCTATGCCTCGCTCGTCACACACGACATCATACAGCTGCTTCCCCACCACTGTGGGCGCGGTGAGCATGTCGTCGATCTTGGGGATTTCGCCTCGTTGGGCGCGTGCGTGGGCCGAGGAGATGCACTGATCGGCTTCTCGGAGCGATTTTTGGAGGATGGTGATGTTGCCGGTTAGCGTGCCTTGCAGGGCTTGGAGTTGGGTTATCTCTGACTCTAGCGTGCGCAGGGAGCTGTTGAGAGCTTCGTTTTGGGATTGTAGTAGTGGTAGGGACGCCGCGTTTTGCGACATGTCTTGATGCAGTGCTTGGGTGATGGATTGCGAAAGCGCGGACAGGAGGGCATCTTTTTCGGGATTGGGTGGAATAGGTGGTGCGGGAATGTTTGCAGATGACAAGACTGGTAGGTTGATGTCGAATGGCGAATCGAGCAGATTCACCGGTGGCGGCTTTGGTTGAGGCGGTGGCCTCGGATGCACTGGTTGTCGTTGATGCTGGGTAGTGACCACTGAATTTTGCTGTGGATGAGATGGGAAATTAGGTGCTGCGGGCTGAAACTGAGGTTGGCTGTAAGGGATATTCTGAGGCGGTTGTTCTGATTGTGAAGTCGAACTTTGCCGGTAGAGAAGACGTGTTTCTGAAGGTGATGTCAAAGAAACAACAGATTGGGGAGGGATTCCATCTGGGGGTGTTGAGAATGAGGCATTGTTTACACCCTGAGAGGACATCGGTGGGGAGAAGTTCTGCTGCTGTTGGAACTGTAGAGGTGTCATGGACTGTCTCAAGCTACTGTTTCGTTGTGGCATAAACTGAGAGGAAGAAGTTTTGGGGCTAGCATGAAGGGTTGGGTTTGTTTGTGTGGATGCCGAGCGTGCAGAATCTGGTAGTGGAGGAGGCGCATCATATCGACCTAAAGGAGTTGGTGTTAGTACTCCATTGATATCTGCTCCCATTTGTTGCTTAGGTGGAGGAGGTGGCGGCGGTGGTGGAGGACTTTGTGCTGTGGAGGTAGATTGCGTAGCGCTATTATGAGATGTCTGAGATAGTCCATGAGGATGAGGAGGTAGCGGTGGTGGTCTTGGAGATTGCTGTGGGATACTGCCGACCTGTTGTCTCCATATAACCGGCGGCTCTTTCGAAAAGACGTCGCCGAGTATTGAAAGAAGCTCAACCACATTCGACCTCTAAGATTGTATCAGTATGCGCCGCTCTAGCACTTGGTTTAGAATCTGACGCACATCCCATGCTGTAGCCCAATGCGCCAGGTACGGATGGTACACCCTGCCCTCACCACTGACGTGTCTTCCAGGCCTTACAAGCATCTCGCTTGTAGGCGTAATGTATGCGATTGGGGGCTCGTGGGGGTATGTATGTGGAATCCAGATCTCCACAGGGAAGCGGTATGTCATGTTCCGAAAGGACACCGGCAGGGTGCCATACAGACGTACAAGGAGGGCGGACGACCCATTCTCGAAAGCTTTTCCCCGTTAGCCTGGGGGCTCAGCGATCTAGCAAGGTGAGTTGAGGCCTACTATAGACATCTGTTCGCGGAGAAATGGTAGGGAAACGTTCCAATGTCTGCGCAAGATCTGAATAGGCGCGATTCGGGTCACGATATTCCTTGGGGTTAAACAGTTAGAAGGTCATCTGCACCGGCCGCTGGGAGGTGTACCTTGCTCAAAACGTTGTAGAGCCAATGCAATGTCTTCTGAGAGACGTTGGCCATCTGTGTCTATGTAATGGTCTGGATACATGGTAAGAAATGGTAGAGCGAATGCCGAATGCGGTCCATATTGCTACGGAGAAGACTTTGGGCCAAGATCAACAAAATCTACCCCAAGCTTACCCCCGAATATGGCCCGGAGCCCATCGGCCAAAGTGATGCCCCCCTGAGCGGCGCTGAGGTTCGTGGAAACCAGGGCGGCGGGAAGCTGTACAAACAAAAGAAGTGAATCCTGTCTCAAATCCTGTCAAGACTACCCTTGTACAAAGTGTGATTGAATCGGAACTCGAAGGTTGCTAAGCTACGAGCACAGGCATTATTTTACGGACATGACGAGTTCCGTCAAAGACGTTGTTAAGCTGCAAGCACAGGCGCTACTCCGCGAGCGCGATGGAGACATTGTTGAACTTTGAGAGCTGGCACCACTTCACTGCGAGGGATAGGAAACACTGGAAAGAGTACAGACATGCCACCTGCGTAGGATATCACAAGGGGAGACACAAGGTTGATTGGTGGGAGGGGTCATACGATGCTGCTGACTGTGGTACAATACACAGGGCCATCCTAACAAAATATGAACAGCCTGAAGGAGGGAGACCCTGTCAGGCAATGCAAAATGGACTTATGCTCGCGGAGCGTAGCATATAACGGTGGCCACCGCTAGCTTGTACAGAGCTTAGAAGACCCTCTATATGGCTCGGGAGGACGAATGCACATGTCGGTCTTCGAAAAGACAGGACCGGCTACCTCAATCGCACTGGGGATCTGACTTTTGCATACGCACGGAGAAGTTTGGCGACGCCTAGCCAGAGGACCGCTGGTGTATTTAAGGATCAAACGGGAAGACACTCAAGCTTAAGGTGTCTGACGTCGCCCCCAAGAGCCATGGACACCAGTTGGGAAAGTAGACAGTGGTGTAGATAAACGGACACGACAAACACTCAATATAACTCCTTACTCCATTACACCATGAGCGACAGAGCTGGCCCACCGTCAAAGAAGACCAGTATTGAGAAATCGCTCCGAGGCTTTCGATGACACGTTGGACCTTCTGATTTTGCATTTACTAACCCGCTGGACCTTGTGGAAATGCGAGGGTAGATCTCGAGTTCCACTTCACATCTACTCGCACCTTGTCGGTTGAACTCATCCTTTTCGCCCTCAGCCTGCCTTTTTGACTGGATATCCTTGCTATCGATTCCAGATTCCTTAATCGAGACCCTACTTATATGTCTCCACAAATCGGGTGGACGAACTTGGCAGGTCCGTTGGCACCGCACCCTTTCATACTCGAAGAAATAAGTCAACCAACACGAGTTTACAAGGTGCTGATCAGGTGTCTGGCAGGACCAGTCGTCAAGCTCTTCGTTGGAACAGAAAGAGGGTCATTGACGGCGCATGTCCAAATCCTTCGAACTGAGCTTGTAACTCTCCATCACTCCAAACACTCGTCAATGGAGACCGGAAAGAATCGCATAAGAAAGGAAGCGGCTGGAGTCATGTAGACGTCACAGTAGTTAAACGCTTCTTTACATTCCTGGACATGGGCGATTATAATGTCCCCGATCCAGTGTCTATTCAAGTTGAACCGAATTCTGATCTACATATTTCACCTAGTTAATGCAGAAACCGATTCGGTAGCTGATATCGACACTGACACCGTAATGGCACTTAAATCTGCGGCCAATATGGGTAGAAGCGAACAGTGACATTCCTTTCATAGCGGCGACTGGTAAAGATGCTGTCAAAGCACTAGCGGGACGTGCAACGTAAGATGTCAAGGTCACGATTACGCCCGACCAACAATGAGTCTAGAACATTAGGATTTGAAGACCAATAACAGTTCTGGGCCTAAATGTATTGGCTGGACGAGTTCTATCTGTCATTTTTCTTTAGTTAGATATGTCCCTGAAGTATTGCCGCTTCTGCTTCAAAATCGATGAACCCGCAGCACCCATGACGGTGTTATGGCTCAGTGCAACAAACTGGATGTCGCCTGAAGGAAGGCCATCTCCACTTCACCGGCCACATCTGAGTCAAGGCCGGAGAAATTGATTTCACAATCCGGATATTCACACGGTATTCACTGTTGTGCAGTCATATCTGTGACTCTTTGCGCGCGGTGGCACAGGGTGTTTCCAACGTGATACATCTGAAGACCGTTTTCCAATTGATCGGGCTGATGCTCCGACTGCGACCAGGTCTAAATAAGGATGATCTGCTAGCAACAGAACAAATCGGGTCTCTATTGCTCTGGTGGCCCCTAGAATTCCTAATGAGCGTGAGTGCAGGAGACATCAAAAGTCCTTATGTCAAAAGGTCGACTCTGATTTTCTGAAGACCATACAACGCCGTTAGGCCGGTTCCCCTGGCTTCAGAGATCGCTGTTAGACATATTGGGACAGCTGTATATCAGTTGCATACCGCATTACTTCTGTTTAAGGCCAGATTTTGCCGTTCTCATGTTTCCGGCGTTCATGGCTAGTGCAGTTGTTGCTATGACAATAATACTAGGGCTGCACGGGACGTGCTGGTGGTACTGGTGTGTGCCAGCGCCGTATGAACAGCGGTGGCGTCAATATGACAGCGATATAGCCGAGGCCGTGACAGTGGGTGGAAAGTTGTTGTATCTTCTATGGATCTGGCTCTCTGGTGTGTTGGGAAAGACGTCCGAGGCAGCTAAAAAGTTGGATCTTGATGCTCAGAAGACTGGAAAAACGTTGTACCGACCTAGGTACATGATCATCACCGCTCCCACCATCACAGCAGATCAAAATCCATATCAGGCACTCTACGTCTGATAGACGAGAAAACAAAGAACAAAACACAAATTCGTCAATTGTATAGTTGTCCTGTTAATACCTGATAGTATTGATTATATACCTGTTATAGTCACTTATGATTAGAAAATTAAGTATCTTTTATACCTCTTATTCATACCAAAAGCTCATTTACTAGAGTAAAAGAACGTCTGAATGTGTATGCAGGTGTATACTACGTTCTAAAATCTTTCCATTTCTTGGAAAGAAAGCCCAGAAAGTCAGGCTGAGCACTGTCTAGACTGCTGTATTTCTAGAATCTTTCGCGCATTCATGGCTATAATGTGGAAAGAATGGTCAATCTGCCTCTTATCATCAATCCTTGTTTGGCCAAGATTGGCCAGAGGTGATTGCAGGCTGGCAGTGAGTAAATACCACGTGTCTCGCTGGGAACATGGTGAGCGCTACTAACTCCCAGCAAAGTGCAAATCGCTATTGGAATTCCTTCCGAACAACGTTTTCCTCCCCACCTCACCTCAATACGCATCGCAGCAGCAATATTGGTCTCTTCAGCAGGGTGAGGTCTCCCCAGCCTGCCGAGTGGCTCCAAGTAGCGCCTCGGACGTCTCTCAATGTCCTTTCACCGTCAAGGGCGGAGGCCACACTCCCTTTGCAGGTGGCTCAAACATACAGGCAGGCATAACCATTGATTTCGAGAAGATGGTCTCTGTCTCATTATCTACCGATTCCAAATCCGCTTTAGTTGGCCCTGGAACCCGTTGGCTTGATGTTTACCAGTATCTCGACCCCTTGAACCTGACTGTAATTGGTGGCCGCGCGTTGGGCGTGGGTGTCAGTGGCTTGACGCTAGGTGGAGGTCTGTCCTTTTTCTCCGCCCGCTATGGGTTCGCGTGTGACAATGTCGACGAATTCGAAATTGTGCTAGCATCGGGAGAGATCACGACTACAAGCCCCTCTCACAATGCAGATCTATTCTCTGCACTCCGTGCGGTGGCTCGAGCAATTTTGGAATCGTAACTCGCTTCACCTTGGCCACGTATGGACAGGGAAATCTCTGGGGCGGTAATAAGTTATATCCCATCACCTTGAACATTACCCTCCTCCACGCGTTCACGGAATACAATGCAAACAACCCCAAGGACAAAGATGCGCACTTAATCCTCCCCTTTGGATACTTCAGAGCCTTGGGAGGTTGGATGGCGATCTCCTTCTTTGACTATGCCATCCCGACCCCTGATCCACCAATCTACGACACGTTCAAGCGGCTACCGCAGCTGGCCTCAACGATGCGCATCACGAATGTTTCAGATCTAGCACTTGAGCTGAATGTCGGCGAGGAGGGCGGCAAGAGAGAGTTGTACCGCACCTTTTCCATTCACAATGACGCTGAATTAGCGGTTCAGATTTTGGACCTCTGTTATGAAAAGTTCTCGCCTCTGCAAGAGAGGTTAAATCTTGTCAGCTGCGCTTTCCAACCGTTGCCTGTCAACTACATCCGGGAAATGCAGAAGAATGGCGGAAATGCCCTCGGACTCGAACCGGAGGACGGACCCCTGGTGATCATCAACGTGGGTATCGAGTGGCTAGACTGGGCTGAGGATGAAGCGGTGAACAAAGCGATCAAGGAATTCGTGGACGATGGAGTGCGTCTGGCCAGGAAGAAGCGGTTGGACCACCCGTATATCTACATGAACTATGCAGGTCCGGATCAGGATGTGCAGGCTGGATATGGGAAGAAAAATCTCAAGCGACTGCAGGAGGTGAGGGATAAATATGATCCCGATGGATTCTGCCCTGAATGGAAAATACTACAAATGAGGCGAGTGGAGTATATTTTCCACTGCCCTTTCATCCACTCAACCAGTGGTCTTTCTGGTTTAAAATATTGCTGTAGATACACCCAGGCGCTATGGGACTAGAAATTGAAGTATTCAGTCAACCAAGTGCTCGGAACCTTCTGGTAACACTACATCCTGGGAATGCTACTCCAAACAAGGAGACTTACCCATTCAGTGACACAGGGAACAGAAATAAGCTCTAGAGACAACATATCAATACATTACCCTCAGATGAATATTTGTAGAATGACGGCGAGCTGAAACTGGTGGCTTGAAGATTTGGTAGGAACGGAGATATCAACCTTAAATCGCTGCGGATGGGGGTGTGGTTGCACGTGTGAGTTGGCCATGTCACTGATATAGCACCATAGTCAGCTCTGAGCGCAACTCGTGCGTTCTGTTACGTCCTCCATCGCACCCACACCTGGTCCCATGCCCTGTTTACTCTCCACACATGCAGTCCTTGAACAATGCGATTAAATGCTGCAAACGACTGTATTTAGGCCCCGTTCTCATCTTTAATAAGGTCTTTAGAGAATTCGGCTCTGTTGCCTGTAGATGATATGTAGACAATAGCAGGTGAACTAATATTTAAGAAAGTCATGTTCCTGTTATAAAAAAGCATTTTCCGGTTTTGCTCGATAAATCCTGCATTCTTGACGGCCTGAACTTAATTTATCTTATGAAGACAACTTGAGAGGGACCTTATCCTATTAAAATGCTGATCCTTGTGAAAACAGATTTGAGCTTACCGTACTGTCGTAGGGATATCTTGTTGGTGTGTGAAGGGAGCAGATTTCCCTTTTCTTTAGGCGCCAAGGAACGTCAACAGCAGCAGCAGCTGCTGCTTGAACCCTGAACGTCTCTCCAACTTTTCAGCAGCAGCCTGGAGCCCAGCCACAATCCTTTCAGAGCTACCGCAACTGTACAGAGTGGTTACATCATTTTTGGGCTTCCAAACAATTGGTTACCTATGCGCGAGACCTGTCGAATGCGAAAACCACTTCTGCCTATGGGTCGTCTAGTATGGCTAACTCAACACCAACACTGCGCGCGCCCCACTATCTCCACCACAAACAATTGCCTTTGCAGACCCGACCTTCGCTGACTCTATCACCATGGATATCACAACGCCCACAATATTACCACAATCGAAGCCTCAATTCGGGTCCGACCTGTTTGAGTCAGGGCTAAACACACCTTTGGATTATCCTGTTGATGAGACATCAGAGCGCTTGAGGGATCTAGAACAACTAACGGCACCAAGCGACGAATTCCAGTTGTCAGATCAGGCAATCAAGGCCGTAGGTGGTCGCCTAGAAGAGGCTGGACCGATACTAAGCCCAGTCGACAAGACTGATGCGGAGGAGCTCTCTCTCGAGTCTGATGCAGACACGGAATCCGACATTCAGGTTGACCCAGAACTCGTGTCCCACCTTACAGCAACAGTCTGCTCTTTGCGCTTGCGCCACCAAGAGCAGTTGCATCTCCAATCACTCTTTACCTCGAAACTCGAAGCTTTGGCCCAAAAGTCTCTGGAGCAAGAAGCAGCTATCAGCTCCCTCACGGCCGAGCTGCGGTCTGTCCGCGAGTCAAATGCACAGCTAGGTCGCGAAAATGCTCTGCTGGCACATGAAAACAATGAACTGCGTGTGTCGGTGCAAGACCTTGAAGGTGAAGTTGTTGAGCGCAAGAGGGCAGTGGAAGCCATGACTGGTGCAGTACGAGGATTAGAAGGATGGATCGAGAGTGCAAATAATTCCCCACAGTCGAATTCAAATGGACGCTTGCTGCGGGATAAGGCAAGTCACGGACAGGGCGAAACAGGAAGCATTCGTGGCAAAGGTAGATTTCGAGGTCGCTATTACCATGATGGCGATAAATCAGGTGGCTTGGGCTTGGACGGGACTTCTGATGTGGATACAGCGGAGATACAAGAAGGCGTTATGGCTTGGGTGAGAGGGTTCAAGGACGTGGAGGATGGACTAAAGGAGATACAACAGCGTGGCGGCAGGGCAAGCCGAGCAAAACAGGTCAACGGACGACGACCGCCAAGCGATCTGGCCAACGACACAGCTGACACTTTCAGCGAGGACTTTGGAGAATTTGTTACTGGAGGATGACTGAATAGTATGCTGTAGCCGCATACATTCAACACTTTGCTCTAATAAGAGTAATTGATTGACAGTGTCATGTATCTTACTTGGCAGCTTCCCGGAGGTGGTCAGCAACTCTTCCAGGTCGCTCCGACTATTATGTACGACAAAAGCTGAATCAGATGTGGGAGATCTACTACCAGCCGAAGATGTTTTGCCCCTATTTCTGGACTCAGAGAGGCGCAGGGCTAGGGCAGCGACTGTCAAGAGCAATGACTGTGGAACAGATCTCCGCCCCTGTGTACGTCTGTATCCTGCATCCTCGCTCTTACTGGGCATACCCACGCTCTCCTCAACCAAGAACACGTCATGAAAACCGTCAACATTCGCTCTCAGAAATGACACACTACTTCGTCGCACTCACCACTGCCAGCGAATCATTGCTTTCCGCAAACAAGGAATGTTTTGCCTTAGAGGGTATCATGCAGTGCATGGTACAGAGGAGAATGGAGGGAGGGTGCCAACGGCCAGCACCCAGCAAAGAAATAATGGTGGAGCGCACAAGTAGCGCGTTCGGTGAGCTCTGGGGAAGACCATTACGAGAGAAGCACGATGGACACCTATGCATTCATGGCACGAAAATCTCACCGCCGTACGATCGATGTCCAATTGCTGGCAGGAAAACCGATATGTCTGGCAGCCAAGACCGCCTCGAACCCTATGATGCGGTTGTTGGCAGGCCAGAGCATGAGTTACAGAGTCGTCTTTGGTTCGATAGATTTCGGACAGTTGCCAACCACCACCTCACCTTGCCAATCTTCCCCCTCCAGGGAAACAACATGCGTGGCGAAGGGCTGGATCATTTCCGAGCAACGAGTCAAGGAGGAAGACAACGAAGCGAGAAAGATTCTTTGCTCTTGGAAAGAACAACAGTTGAACTAAACCCAGCTAACATTTTTCACTGTTGGTCATCAAACCCCTTTTTTAGATCGCTTCCATCAGGTCAGCCTATCTAGACACCGAATCCATGTACGAATCTCGTGCGCGGGGCCGGACAGGAAAAAAAATGGATTGACCATGTTTACGTCCCTCTTGAAGATGGATGTAATGAATCATCCAACATGACGTGTGCACAACAGCTAGGTGACCAGATTTTATCTGGCTTCTTCTCCTGTTGACAGGGCCGGGACAAACTCGGGAGAAAAGAGGTAAAAATTGCGCCCGTTGGACCATTTAGCGAAATCCAGAAGTGATAGGTTACGAAAGATGTATAAGTGGTGATTGAAAGGAGTGATTGATCTCATCCCACCTTTCTGTCATGTGATGATGTTGAGTACGTAGTAAGTACCAGGAGATCCCGCCGCCAAGATGTTTCACGTGACCAGTTCCTGATGACGAAGGCACCTAAGTACTACGTAAAGTCGCGTCTAAACTACGGCTATGTAGTAAAGCGTCTGTGGCGGTTATCTGCCAATTATGTAATGACAGTCATGTCATGACAGAAGGGTGGGTAAGCCAACCGATTGAACATAGGCAGGACCCCGTTAAGGGCGGGAAGGGGAACAGCTTGGTCTAATTCAAGAAGATGTCCTGCAATATCTTGACGATGGCGAGTATCTAGACTTTCGTTATCGATTGCGCAATGATGGGCCCCTGAGTGATATGAGTGATAATTATCAGAACCGTCCTTGGGCAGCTGAGCAAATATATGTATCCGAGGAGCACTTTGGGCACATACTACACTGGTCAGCCACGATAGTCTCTTCGATGTACGCTCCAATGAGTCAGGCAAATCGTTGGAGCAGTTGGTGATTGCACTGTATGCCCCTGGTTACAATTTGGGAGGTATGGGTACGGAGTCAATACACATGCGCACGTCCATATGAGTTGTCATAGTCTGCCATGGCAGACACCATGCACCCAAATTTGGTAGTCAGTCATCCACCATTGAGCCAACAAAAAGGGTATAACGTATGTCCCCATTTAGATATCCATCCATCCATTCACTCATGCACGATGAGATCCGGGAAGCCGGGGGTTATATTGTGTATCTATACACACTCGAAGTCAAGTGGTCGACACAGCGAGTGGGTCTGCTCTATGCCATGCGCTCCAGTTCATGGAGCGACTCTTTTCTATACTCCTGCTGTCGGAAGTCGATAACAGCAACCTGCCGATCAGTATCTTGTTAGCCTACTTGGACGAAAGAAGAAAGGTGTCATACAATGATTGGAGCGCATACCTGATTTCCTAGCGCGAAAGCCAATTTCCTACTCTCGGCATCCCAGGTAAGAGAATGTCCTGTCTCTTCCCTAGCGCCATCCTCGCTCATCGTTTCACCTTGTGAGACTCGCCGTTGACGCTTAAGATATGCGCCACCCCAATTAGCTTCGTTGCCCTTCCACTTCGCAAGCGCCGGGCTACGTTTATCTGCTCTCCACAGGACGACTTTGTCATAGCTGGCTGCAGCCACAGCATGGCCATCCGGGGTGTAAGACAAACCTAGAATTGGTGCTGTTTCGGTCATGGAGAGCTTGAACAGACATTCAATCGAAGCCGAGTGGTCGCTATACCGCCATATTTTGACACTGCCATCCAGCGAACAGGTGGCAAACTCACAATATGGATCTTGGTCTGGATGGACAATTTGACCAGGCCGAAGGTCTAAGCAGGTAATTGGCGCGCTGTGGATGTTTCTTGCCTGTACGTTTTTGGTAGGTATCCAGAGCATCGCCGGACTTGCTGAAGCTGCAATAATGATTGCAGCTTCTTCGCTCCACCATGAGCATTTTACCAGATTCCAGCTCGTATGGTCATCTGAAGAAGTTGAAGCCCACTTCTGCTCGATGACCAATTCCGCGACGGCTCGACATTGGTAGATGACGCCGTCTCCAGCCGCGCAGACTATGCTTGTGTTGCCATGGCTGGCCCAGCTGATATCGTGGATCTGTTCGGGCACCGTAATAGGGAATGCTCCCGGAAAAGGTGTCGATCCGGAGAGATCCCACAGCACAAGGGACGACTCGTCTGTGCTTGCTGCAAAACCCATTAGGCGTGAACCGACCTGTTGCCACCGTAAAGTAGTAATCAACCGTTGCGCAGCCGGTAAACAATCAATCAAGACCGCCTCCTGTCCATCGTAGATTCGTATGGCCCCAGCCGTGTGGTTGTCGAATACTGCGATGGCAAGCATAGTGCCTCCTGGCTCCCAAGCCATGGCGCTAACTATTTGATCATATCTCCTGTCTATGACACTTTGAGAGGGCGGCAATACGGCGCCAGGTGGTGAAGGTTGATTCGGTATCTTCCATACTCCAACAAAGTCGTGTCCAGATGCTGCCAAGACCGTTGGATCCGTTGGACGCCACGATGCATCTGTCACGTGTGCGTCATCAGCCACATGCAAGACCATCGATTCTGGAACCAGTAAGTCCGATTCGGCACTTTTGGTGGGATGCAATTGCACCCCGACGCTATGACCATTTTCCAGGGTAGGAATTGGGGGAAGGAGTTCGTTCATTCGTTCCTGGTCCGTTGACTCAAAGAGGCCCACGCCGTTGCCCACTTCGAAGCCTTGTGCAACACCGTTGCTCATACCCATGTCCATGTCAGTGTCTGGGTCAAGATCACTTGTGGAGGGTGACCTGGCCTCGGGAGCAGGCGGCACAGAATCGGAACTGGGAGAATTTGCATGGCCATCTTTGTGGTCGACTTCCATCGAGACTTTTTCGTCAATTACGAATTCGGCATTTTGCTGTGGATGCTGCTTTTCCACGCCATGATCTTTGTCATGTGCAGTTTTTCGACTCCGTTTGGGTGCTGGTTGGTTTGCCTGGTCTGCTGCCCCGTTCAGCCCGCTTTCTCGAGGGTGCTTTCGCGCACTGGCGGATTTGGGCGAAAGGTCTTGCCGGGTGGTGCCTGTTTCACTTTCGCCGGAGGCATCTTCCTCCTGTTGGAAAACAGGTCGTGCAGATTCTGGTCCGAAAAAGAGCATAGATGGTTGAAATGGAACTTTTTTGCATGCTCGCTACAGTCGCTGCTGTCAATAAAATCTCAAATAAATACAGAAACTGAACTTACTCTATCCCAAACTTGGTCGGTGTAATAATAGCGAAGCCCATATTTGATCAATCGGACGAGAGCGCCGCCTTTGATGTGTTTCGCGAGAGGCAGACTTTGAGGATCTAGCTTCCAGTCACGTTGCAATTTCACCGCGGCTTCTCCATAACCTGTGTCCTTTGTCAATACGCAAGCCGGCACTGAAAGCAGTTTGCCAACCTGATTCCTGCAAGTATCTTGGTCGCGCAGTCAGTACCATCTGGCATCACGGTAAAGCTGACGACGCACCTCCATATTAAATAATTAACTTGGTCTGAATTCAATCTAGCAGATTCGCTGATAGCGAGGTCTGGTTGAAAGGATGATCCCATTGCTATCGTGACATCTCATGCGTAGATATTCTTACAGGCTAAATCCGCGGGTGGGTGGATGTGAGAAAGTCAAAGAGTGAGAATGATGAGATTGAAGGCTGGAAGAGGAGCAAAAATGACCAGCTGGCAGGTATTGGTGCAGAATGTGGAGGTGTCACCAGGGGAGAAGTGTGTTTACCTGGATTGGGAATGGAGTGGTCAAGATCGTCAGCGGGATTAGATCTGGAGGATGAGGCATATGTTTAGGCGTAGGGCGAGGATACGAAGGTTTGACTGGATACCGTGGGTTGGGTTGGTCGTCCTCTGGCTGATGTCCTGTCACCTGCATAATTGCAAGGATTTCAAAGTTAGGTGATGCTGCCAACGCTAGACTTAACTAGTACTTACTTAGTCAATCGAGCCGTTTGGCGGCTGCTGAAGCCCAAAGGCTCGTGCGAGTGAACCTCAACGGCAGTGGCTAGAGACGTGAGCACAGTGGGTCCACCCATATATGCAGGACAGATGAGTGGTGTTATTACGAATCTTTCATTATAGATGGTCCTTGACATTTTTGTGTTCTCTAGCGAAGACAGGGAATTCAGAGGTGTTAGTGGCTCTGCTTCGGGCTAAAAGGTAGAGGGTTCCGACTCTGAAACTGTGGGGACCGTAGTTGATTGGAGCCACCGCCCACCACTAATTTAATGTTAATTTGACAGGGAGATCGTTGAAGTTAAGCAGCAGCAGCAGCAGCAGCAGCAGCGGCAGCCTCCCCATTCCTCATGAACTACGGAGTACAGCAAGCAGTGAGCAGGATATAGAGAGCACCTTCAATATCTGCTTGACTGCTGCAGCGCCTTTTTCAGACATTTCGCCAGAGATATATGTTCACGCTATGACACCCGCAGTATCGGTATGGCTGTCCGATTCAACATCAACATCAACATCCCTCCGGTCACCCGATTCATCCTTATCCTCGTCCTCGTCCTCTCCTTCCTCCACACACTTGGACGGTACAGAAAGCTCCCAGGCATCGAAAATCCAGGCAGTGGGCCCACGCCCTTAGTCCCTTACCTTGCACTCGTTCCTGTCTTCGTCGTATACTACCCGTGGACTTTGCTCACGACAACTTTTGTGGAACGAAGCATCTTCTCCCTGCTCATCAATGGCGCAACAATCTTGTTTGGGGGAAGGTACCTTGAGCGAGCATGGGGCTCCAAGGAGTTCTTGAAGGTCGTTCTGGTCGCAGCGATCGTTCCAAATATAATCGCCGTGCTGACCTCCATTATTTGGGAGTTTATCTCAGGCAATCCAAAAAGACCGTGGACTCCAGTGTCTGGTGGAGTAACCTTGCAAGCAGCATTCCTTGTCGCCTTTAAGCAACTAGTGCCGGAGCATACTGTGGCCATCTTCAAAGGCCTTGTCAAGATGCGAGTCAAGCATTTTCCAGCTGTTTTTCTGCTGATCAACACGCTCAGTGGTCTGCTACTTGGAACAGATACTGCAGCTATATTAGCCTGGGTGGGCTTGATCACAGCATGGACTTATCTGCGCTTCTACAAGAGACAGCCTGATCTTTCTGGCACTACAACTGGCGGTCAGAGCTCAAAAGGCGATGCCAGCGAAACTTTTGCCTTTGCTGCTTTCTTTCCAGATAAGGTTCAACCGCCCATTGCATTTGTTTGCGACCAGATCTACATCCTACTGATCAACATGCGCATCTGTACTCCCTTCTCCAACGAAGACATCGAAAGTGGCAACCAGCAGGCAGCCGCAAGAGGAGAAGCTGGACTCCCGAGCCTGCTCAACAGCGGAGGAAGGACCGGCAGGGGCACTGGAAAGAGAGAAGAAGCAGAGAGGAGGAGGGCACTCGCCTTGCAGGCCCTCGACCAAAGGCTTAGCGCCGCCAGTGCCAACAGACCATCTACTCAACCGGTCTCGATCGCTCCGACACCGATGCAAGGCCACGAGCCGTTCGGCAAGACGGAGTATGTGCCAGACGAGCCTGTTGAGACATAACTGTGCTCTAACTTGTTCCTCGAGACGCGGTTGCAACAATCCTAGTCGAATAGTGAAGGCGTTCTTGGTTCCTTATCGAACATTCGCGATACCATTTGAGCGTTTTGTAGCAGATTGTATAGCCACTCCTATACTCAATAGACTTTGATTCTATACTACTTGAACATTTCATACCTCTTCGGCGTATCTCCTCCATATTGTTCCGTGATAGCAACAATCGTAGCTCCATCCCCAAGCTCTCGGAAAAAGAGACCGCCTTGGGCTACTTGACTTTGCGCTCTTGAGACCTTCAAGTTCTTCCGTCGTGAATGCCGAAGGTACGGAAACCTGCAACGAGTCGGCCGCCGATCTGCGCCTAGGGTGATGCCACTCTCGACCTCACCAGCGTCCAGACGAAGTGCACATGAGGTGGCTCATGAATTACCGAACCACTGACCATTTCAGGCAAATCCATTTGTTAGATCATATTTGGCAGTAGGTGGGCTAAGCCCGAGAAGAGTCACAAAGATAATGGGGTACATCTTACAGGTAAAGCTGCAAAGTATGTATTCTATCTTGTTGTTATCCAGACCTGACCCTTGGACCTGAGGAAAATTGTCCTGGTCCTGTCATACATTGGCCGAACTCATGTTCTCTTAATAGTAAATTCGTAATACAATTCAATCATTCAAGAATTGGTGAGCTTTTTGAAAAAGGATCTGACCTCTTCAGCAACGCACAACACAGCGCCTGTTCAATATCAGAGACCACCAAGGAGTCCTTGACAAAATCCGGTCTTCTATTTTGCGATGCTCTCAATGGTCGTATGCAAGCTCATACATTCCGTGAAGACCGAAACCACTGACCTTTCTCTTCCTCTGGTGTCTGCGAAGAAGGCTGAGAATTGCTTTCCATCCCTCAAGATGAATAAGGGGTCTCCTCTCGCTGGGAGGGCACTGGTCATTGATTCTTGAAGGCATGCGGCTTTTATAACCTTTGGCAGGCGCCCTCACATGCATAACAGCCGTCGAAGTCTTGGAATGGTATGAGTCCCATTCTCTTGACGCCTGCGTTGGTCTCAGAGCCGATAGTCGGGATCCAGGAGGCTGGTGGCCTGTGGATGAAGCTGTAATATTGGCTCGGGTGGGGGTAATGCATAGCCGGGGTCAACCCCTAAGTCCGGCTGAGGGTCTGCGTCATACACGGCCAGGCGACAAGTAGCTGGGCATTCATCTTCCTACTAAAGCTCCATTGCATATCTAGCATCTGGTCACCCTCACTAGATTTAGGTTTCGAGAAGTTTCAGTCGGTGGGAAGTGTATTCAAGTTCGACCTTTAGTATCCCGGTATATGCCCCTGGGTAGTCCATTCCGTAATCAACCAATGTGCTTTCAACCGTCGCCCTTGTTGCTTCATCTCTGCTACCACACCATGCCCCTACAAGACATAGCATGACAAAGCTGGCACCTAGGGGTCTGTACCTCGAGGCTTGGTCGGCGAGTTTAAGGCTGTCTCTGCAGAAATGTGTCGATTCCATCTCCAACACTGTATCGCTGGGATCGAGAGCATTGAGGATGCAGTTGAAGTACATGCAAATGGCAAGCGCCAGACCATACGTGCGTTGATAGTGAGCGTGAAGTCTCATTGACCGAGCTGCAGCTTGCGGGCAACCATCGGTTGAAGGCTGCTGAACAGCATTAAGGCGGTCGTGCAGTTCGATCAAGATTGCTTTCAATATGTGATACTGATGCCTTGCCTCGGCTATGAGCATCTGGACACTGCTTTTCGTTCTCAGTGCAATCCTTCCGCGCTGCATGAGGTCAGGGACCTGGGCCAGACAGCGCATCATTCGACCCTCACAAGTGGATCCATCTAATTTGTTTTCAACTAGGATGCTCCACTCCTTGCGACTGAAGCGAATCCTATCGTTGAAGAGAGCTTCAAACAGCTCCATTGCCAGTTAGCTTAGCGTTCGAACAGCAGGTAGAGTTGTCGTACCACTGGGCCACGCAATGCAAGGAGCAATATGCGTTCAATGTCATCCCGAGTGTCATAATATCCTCGAGCTTTCAACATTTGCGCCGCTCCCTCGCAATGCCCCGTCCACCGACCCGCGTATATGCCAATGAAGCTCTGTACCGGTATGAGGATATATTCATTGTATGATGAGGGTCACTGACCTGACATATCAATAAGACCATGACAGCACAAAGTGTCTCTGCTTTATGAGCAGTGATAGGGTCGTCCAAACAGGCTCTTAGAGTTTTGAGGGCATGAGAATACTTGACCAAGCTTTGGCAGGTAGCAAAGTTACCTTGTTGTGAGCCAAGATGCGAATGTGCAGTGACCAGAGCTGCAACAGCCGCGTCCAACGCTTGGTTGGTGCCAATACGTCGGGGAATGTCCTCGATGAAGCTTCCATAAGCCCAAGACAGGTGATATCTCAGATCGTCCGATGCATTCAACTTGGCAATCAGCGCATTGACCAACAAAGTAGTTTCATTGCTCGGTGCGCGAGAGAGTTTTTGCAATCTGTGCTCATCTTGGAAGCCCAGGGAAGAGCTTGAGTTGTTGTGTGATTGTCGATAGGATGATGGATTCCAAGATCTGCGGTCCTCTTTGAATATGTACCGCTGCGAGCCAGCCCCTACGCAGCCAATTTGGAGACGGGTACATCTCGAACATGAGGGCTTCGACTGATCGCACTAGAATCCCCTCTATCAAAAAGTCTTTTCGTGGGGGGCCTGACAAAGGTACCTTTTTCTTCTGCTTACGACACGCTTCACACCCTCGCCCGGAAGGAACCCCCGGCATCTACGTAGAAGAGTACTCTAGTGTCAGGAGCAATCATGGACCTCTTGCGCTTGAAAGGCAAGCCCGATGAAACGTATTTGTTGAGAGTACGCATATAGATAGCCGTTAAGGAGATGAAATCTCGAAGACAATGTAAATGTTATGGTTAAATTTGTCGGTCAAGGAGGAACGTCGCTCCTTCGGATGCCTGGTCGCCTGTGAAGCTTCCAGAGAAGGATCCCAGCCGATGCGTGGGAATTGTGACATTTTTCTTCTAATCGGAAAAAATAATTGGGAGACGCTGCAATTCGACCGGTTGTACATAATGTAAGTGGACACCAGATCGCGCCAAAGAACGATAACTGCTCGTATTTCTGGATCCTTCGTCCGGGGAGCCGTACTACTTAGTGTTAAGCTAACTCTTGCGGGCCATGCTAGCCTAATGCCTACTCTAGCTTACGGGATTCTTAAAGATCTCTGAATCATCTTTAACAAGTTTAGCCGAACAACAATGAAGCTGTACTTCTTCCATTGCCTGAAAAGGAAGTCCAGTCCTCTCCGAATCCGACACAAGATTTGTCAAGCCAGTTTCTGCCCTAACACCACTACCCTTGCCGTCCTTTGCTGGCTCATCTGGCCTCTCCGCCCGTGGCATTTCACGATTCCGGAACCTCTTACGCACGATGAACTCCGAGAGTCGCCCGAGATGCTCGATGTTCGACAATCTGGGATTCACCAACCCTTGAATATTCCCCTACTTGGGGTCCGAGACACACCGCTACGGTCGCTGTACCGAATGTAGGAATACCTCTTTGCTGGTCGGCTAATCCTCATGTCCTACGAAAGCGACTACTTTTTCCGCCAAGTTTCCGTACGCTCGCAGCTCTCGCGGATGCCTGGCCCCAGCGATGATTATTTTGCACGGTATGCGATCCTGGCGAGCCTGGTAGAGACCCTTGTGGATGCCTTCAATTGGAAGATGCAGCTGGGTATCCGACGTGGTGAAGAGGCAGCCCTTGATAGATCTGTGAATAGGGCAACGAATTTTTCGAAGGAGGCTCCAAGTTGGACGAGGAATATTGGGGTGATTGGGAAGCCCCCGAGCTTGATAGACCGCGACAAAGAGCCTCATGCAAATCCGGAGGAGAACTTTTCGAAGAGGAATATTGAAGCCGGCGTAGGGTATCTATACACCGTGTGAAATATCTCGCAAATCAGCCGTTGGAGCACGTGATGTGCTTTTCGCTCCTTTTTGCACAATGGTGAGGCAAATTGAGCAGTTCGTCAACAAGATTGTTCGCAAGATCCAAGGATCGAGCTTTCACAGCCATAATCTCCGGATGGGCACTTGTTTGGACATAGCGTACGTCCTATAGGAGAGCGGGCGTTTCGACCTCCTATTATAAGATAAGAATATGACCGGCTTATGACGTGATGTCTTAAGCACTTGGACAGTAATGCTAGCCAGCCACCTTGCAGGTGCTTGGGCGGTGTGTCTGGTATAATAGAGAAGATTGTAGAGGGAATAGTGAGAGCGGGCCATAGGCATACGTACCGGATAGGCTTGATCTTCAATACCCAAGGATTCATCTTGCTCAATGCGGTGGTGGGATCTTCCACTCGTCAGATCACGCTCGTCGAATATCGATGCAAGCATCGCTGAGTCTGCGGCTTGTCCGCTAAATAGCCATGTTTTGTAAATAGATCCAAGTCTTTGGAATGCTGCTATAACCTTCTTCGAAAAGGTTCATTTCGAACAACGTTTGCAGGGCGGGAGGGTCAATAACCGCCATAGAAGTTTGGATCTAGCGACAAAACGCATAAACAATCCCCAGACATCAACAATGCAGCTGGCCCGGTTCCGTACCAGTGCATGGAAGACACTCATGGAAGCAACCTTTGGCCAAGAGATGCAGCTTGCCGGAGGGTGTGCACTCTTGTCACAACAGAATAAATCCCGACAAGTCGCGATCATAAGGTGGAAAATAGGATGAAACAGGCGAATCGCACAACCAGCAGATTCAAGCCTTGCAAGGAAATGCTAAAGTCCGTGTTGCATACGACATGGGCGCCTGGTGGGCGGCTGCTGGGACGGAGGCTAGAAAGAGCCCCCACATTTTGCTGAAGAATCAAAATGCCGAGATCGATGCTGACAGTTGAAACAATTAGTGTACAGTGGGCAGTGCAGAAGTGACTCAGATGAGCGACTCGCTGGCATTCAAACCAGCTGTGAGTTCAATATTTTCCTGCAAAATAAGCTCGCTTCGAAACTGAGATCACTTATGTCTGCTGAGTACATATGCACGGGCGGCTGGGGATGTTGGCGAGGTTCTCATCAATCAATGTATTGTCAAAGGGGGAAGCAGAGACATTGATTCCATTTTTGCTTACACTTACGCATAGATTGTCCAGTACTAGTTGAGCATCGTTGCTTGAAATCAATAATGGAAAAGTGGCTGAAGCTAGCCCGGTGTAACGTACGGAAAACCCCGGAGCAGGTAGGTAGGTTTAGGTTATTCCAGTTATGATATTCACTGATTCAGTGGCTGAGAAAAAGGCCAAGCCTCGAAATTCCTCGGCTCAGAGTTGAGGTATCGCCTTACGAATTATTACTATTGGGGTGGCCCCTTCCGGAGTACCACAGAGAGTACTTCGTACGTAGTAAGATGATACTGGTGTGCTGAGTTATAGTCAGCCACTCTTCATGCGCCACACGACCCTCTCCGCTGGCGAACTGGGTAGTCGTCATCAGTCAGGACTAGATTGTAGACTGAGTTGGTAACGAATTGGTCATCCAACAGAGTCGCTTGCCATCCCGCATCATGCGACCTTGCAGTGGCCAAGTCTGCTGATACCATGGGATCAGCCGACAAGCGAGCATTAACAGTTCAAGTTTGGCAATTCTCGTTCACCAATGGTTCCAATTCTGGTGCGTTAAATACCGAGAGAAGAGACAGAAATGGGTGCATTGGGAGACCTGATGTAGGGGCGAAACTCCTCGCATGACAGTGTAGGGTATTTAGACTTTTGCGGATTGGAACGCGTGTGTTTCGCATAGGCAACTGATGATTGGGTCAGCCATAGGCCAGAGTACCCACACGAGCATTCTCATCGGCTCATGCTATTATTTTTGGGCTAGCAAGTTATGGCCGAGTGTCTTCTGGATCATGGTACATGGCCGAGTGGTCATCCATTCTATTGTGCATGTAAGCTTGCACGATCTGACATGTCCCGGGGTTCCGGAGAGTGTTGGGTTGAAATGTTTGATGAAACGAGCAAGAACTGTTTTGAGAACTCTGAAAGGCACAAAAAGGATAGGTAAATCAAAGGTAATGCAGGTCGAAGAGGATTGACTAACAGATGTAAGTCAGACTTCTGAAGCATAGCTGTGGAACGAGTGGTCAGCATCTTCTCGCGCGCGTCGCTCAAGGGGCTGGGCGGTTGGATAGCTTGAGCCCGAAGCCCAATACCCTCCTCCAGCCACCCCTGCGTAAAGCAGGCCGCTGCCCCGTGCCCAAGATCACTCATTGGCCAGCAGCGCATCCCTTGAAACATCAGTTCCCATATGCCGACTGGGGACTCCTGGCCGGAGGGCATAGTCTCCAGCCAATTCCAAGTTCCACACGCTATCAGCGCCCCCGATCCAACCATCCGCGCCTTGCCCACCCTTGCAAGTAATTACATGCCTCACCAAGCCCAGAACAACAAGCCACCAGCCGCCCATGGCCCGAAACAGCTTTAGACAATTGACTTTGACCTTCCAGGCTCCACCGCATGATGGTCTCTACATATACTGACCTTGCACCACCGTCAAGAATGAGAGGGGTCATACTTGACATTCACGAGCCACGCATCACTCACACAAATTCATTAGCCGACCACTACTCCCACCATCACCATCATCTTCTAATAAAGAGGCGCATCATCCTCCTGCCTCCCTCCAGCTCCACCGTTTTCGATCTTCACTCGTATGCGCATTCACTACTGTCCAAGGGATCGATTTCGCCTCCTTGTGTCTTACCTAGCCTCGGTGTCAGTTTACCTAATTGGTGCCGGTCTCCCGTCAGGAACGCCTCGCATCCCACTAGCGCATCATTAACCCTGAAGCCTATCGACTATCGCCGCAGGGTTCGCTTCGCAACGCAGCAGTCAGGGGGATAATATCCAGAAGCAGCTTCAAACTTTCTTGGGAATTCAGCATTCAGGAGATCGGCCTCCTGAATTTGGCCTATCGGGCAGTCTTACAAAAGTCTTTACGATCTCTCCAAAATTCGCATTCCTGCTGGTCGGGAACCTCGCCCATACATCAAAGTTATACACTGCGCCCCGGATATACAAAGACTTGCGCGTTGTAAGACATCATCTACGTCAACATCCACCCCATCCACTTATTGGTGGAATAATTGGTGTACATAAGTGGTCAACTCTTGAACTTTCCACAGCTAGCGAGTTGTGTTTGGAATTACTCTCGTAATTCATCATCTGACCAGCAACATGGACTCTTACGCACTTGGCCAGAACAAGGCTGCATTGGAGGAGTTCTGCCACAGACCTGTCGACAGACACATGGTCCGATATCTGGCAAAGCAGGCTTCTCATGTTATCCGATGTGAAGAGCCGCTGGAACCTTCCTCAAGCGATATGCCTCCTACACCACCCTCAACGCCTCCCACAACCCAGGCTGAATTTCCGCAACCTCACTTACCTTCTCTCGAAGCATTCATCACCTCGATTGTCAACAGATCCTCAGTGCAGGTACCCACTCTGATGACGTCCCTGGTCTACCTTGATCGTCTCCGGTCTCGACTTCCACCGGTTGCCAAAGGCATGCGATGTACCGTCCACCGCATCTTCCTTGCATCTTTGATCTTAGCCGCCAAGAACCTCAATGACTCGAGCCCAAAGAACAAGCATTGGGCCAGATATACCAGTGTGAAGGGCTATGACGGGTTTGGTTTTAGCCTGGCAGAGGTCAACCTGATGGAACGACAACTTCTCTATCTCCTGGACTTTGACCTTCGCGTGACCGAGCAGGACCTTTTCCACCATTTCGAGCCGTTCCTTGCTCCCATTCGTTTAGAGCTCGAGCTGCAATGTGAGGAAGAAGGACTCCTTGATCTGCCCGTAGAAGAAGAATATCACCATGCGTACGCCACCGAAATCAAATACACCCACAGCTTTGATACTCGCCTTGCCCAGAACCTCCGGAGCAGACCGGCCCGCGAAAGCTCTCTTCCTCGTCGCCGTGCAATCGGTGTCTATGACTCCCCGCACTCTCTCATCGACGACCATGTTGATGTTCGCGCTGGCCGCTACCCAACCACGAGCAACAGCACAACGTCCCTGCCGGTAACGACGTTAGGTCACAAGCGTCGTCCCTCGCCCTACCGTACACATGCCAGCTCTTATTCGCGGTCGATATCTCCTCCCTCAGAGCGCGATATTCCAGCGCTGTCTCGTACCCACACGGACGGCACCACTTATACCGCATCATCATCTCGCTCTTCATCCCTTGCTCCGCCATCCTCTCGCGGTACACCAGCTAGCCTCGTTTCCGGCATCGACGACCAGGTTGCTCCTGCTTCCGGCATCGTAGTCGTTGACGGCTCCTTCAGCCCCGGCATGACGCATGCAACAACTTATGGGCGTGCATTAGCAGCTGCCCAAGCCGCTGCGAGCGGCGTTGTAAGGCCAGGTATGAAAGGGCACCAAAACAGCTTTCAGAGTGAAAGTCAGCAGCCCACGAAGAAAGCCAAAATGAGTGCTGGCCCTGGGAGTGGGATGGGAGGGGTGATGGCCAGGTTCTTCAACACCGCTACGGGAGGCTATGTGGCGCAGCGGGTTTGCAGAGGACAGCAGCAGCAGGTACCTGTGATGGTATGATTGAGGGATGGGATAACGACGACGGCGCATTCCTCTGTTGAGCATTGGATATGTGCGGATGAAGGAACGAGAAACGAAATGCAAAGATGATGACTTTGCATAGAATTGGAAGAGCTGCAGTTGTTGCATTGCATTGCGATGGAGTTTCTTGTATGGCAATATCAGCGTTTGAACTATCAGCGAGCATTGGGTGGCAGTCGAAAAACCAGGGCCTTTGGATATGGCATCAACTAGTCTTTGCACAAACTGTACAAAGTTGCAAGAGACACGATGATCTATCTGGCTATAGATTAGCTAGAGATCTCTAAATCAGATTTCAGATTTCATCATTCTGAACACTCTCTGCCTGGTCTTCACAAGCTACGTATGGTCCTCGTAGTCGGAACGATTCGTCTTGCTAGCGGTAAAAGATAATAATTGATGACAGAAACAATCTGACAGATCCTGGAGGATGTGGCGCTCTAATTAAGGGTCGCACCAACATTTGTCTGGCAGAATTATGTTAGTGCCAAGCGTGCCGACTCATTCGTGAGCTTGGCATCGCCACATGTGAAAATTCCTGGCCGAGGCACAACTTTGTTTTCTACCACTTGAGCGCCACCCCTATCTACTTTAACGCTGCAGACCTTTAACAAGTGGATCTCTTGAAGAGTCCCCATGGCTTTGGGATGTATTGCGTTTTCAGCAGCATCAACTTGAATTTACGTCCTAATTCTCAAGCACGGACTACATATCAAGCTCAGTGGAGGGGCACTTGGCCCACTCAAACAGCGCATCTAAGCTTCAAAACGACTCCATGACTTCTCCAGATCAAAACCGCCACTTTCGAACTGTTGGTCCAAGATCCCACTCTCGAACAAGTGGCCGAGGAAAGTCTGGCTATGAATTGTTGTGGCTTTATCTTCATCAGGTTTAGACGCGGTTCTTGTCATTCTGTCGTCGCTCAATGCTGGTTTGTACTGCAGTGGAGTTAGTAGAGCAGAGAAACAAACCAGCTTTACCTGCCGGAGTTGTTCGGAAAGAGGGTTGCTGCTGATTACGCTTCTTAGTTGGCGCAGAGCAGCACGACTTAAACCAGAAGAGGAGGGCGGCCGCCATGTCGGTCCTCCCGGCGGCAAATGGCTGTGAAGCTCGCACAGCTCTTTTGAACGGCCTGCCTATTGCTGGGCAAGTCTCGGCTTTCGTCTGCAGCGGCCGCTGTTGTTGGGTCTGTGACAACTTTGATACTCTTCTAGCTTTTTTCGAGATTCCTTGTGTCCTGGTCTTAGGCTGCTTGACAGTGTCTCTCTTCTGAATCCGGCTTTGCAGAGTCCTTGAGTTTCCAACCCTTGTTGTTTTTGCTCGCTTCTTTGGATGGTCCCGTACTTGCTGTTCCTTTTCAGCCTTTCGTTTGATTAGGGGTGATTCCTTCTGGGGCTGTGCTGCAATCCGTTTTGACCTTCGAGGCCCGTGCGTCTGTTCTGTGTGAGAAGAGCTTCGCCATGTTTTATCAAGCATAAGCCTAGGTTGACTTTCTTCCTTCCTCGAGGAGCCAGTCATAGGTGACTGGGGTAGAGTCTCAGCCTGACGAGGAGGTATGCTCGAGAAATATGCTGTTGCAGAAGAGCAACATCAACGCGTGAGAAAGAGTGGTCACGTTCGATGACCCTACAGGAGAGCAGCTGTTGGATTCTAGTTTCTCGCCCCATCTTTGAGAACAGTAGCAATCATGCGTCCTGCTATTGGGGAACTTCTGGATGCAATTAGGCTCGCATCATACAAGTTGTGAAGATGCGCCAGATGAGATGAAGGTGGCCGAGGAGCATGCTGCAGAGAGATGCAGATGGCTTGAAAAAGATCACACGTCAGTGGGGTCTGCAAGGGATTCATTTACTGCATTCCGTGGACGGCACCATTTGAATGACACCCTGTCACCCAGGATCATAAGCCCAATTGAGGTGTCAATCTAACCGCACACCCGGGCTAAGCATCCTCTTTCATGCAGCGCCCCGATCCATTTTCCCACGTAAGCGCTTTGACGGCGGCCAGTCACCGTGACTAAAAATACGAGCATTACAGCTTCAAGGCCGACTGCTAGCAATCTAGTGAACAGTGCATGGGATAAGACATCAACCATTAGCAAGATGCCCCCTGTCCTCGCAAAGGGGCTTAGCCACCTGTCCACTGTCCAGACTTCCCGACACCCCGCCCCGCTTTTGCGGGTCTCGCGGTCAATGCAGGCTAAGGTTCGGACCGAAGGACCGTGGTGTCAAATTAGATGATGCCAAGGCCGAAACATCTTCTTGGCGCGTTCCATAATAGTACTATTAGTATGAAAGGCAACCTTCCTTGACTGTATCCTGCTGTCTGACTAACCAAGACATACAGAGGGGCTCAGACTCCTGTTCTGAGGGGTCACATACTCAGCGAAAATGAGAAGGATCCGGTCAACTTCTGAGGGAAAGTATGATAATTTCAGCACAAAAACCTTCCTTCTGATGCAATCATCTCTACTTCCCTCCGGACCCCAAAGCCTCAAACAGCGCCCTCTGACAATTACTAATCTCGGGTAATATTGTCTGCAGGAGCTTCTTGCGACTAAGATATATGAAGCAGATGATTCGATACAGCAGGAAGAAGCCCTGTTCTCTCAGACATATTCCTTTCCCCCTTCCTGAGGCTGTGTTCTCACAGCCATCTGCTTATGTAGAACTATAGCTTGTGGGCAAGACTAAAAATGATAGAGATCGACCACGTTGAGTAATTGAGGCATTTCTGCCAAACTCCTTGTCTTTGGGTACAGGGTCATCCTCGTCATCCTCATCATCCTCATCATCCTTCAGTCAAATCGAATTTCTTCATTTCCCATATCTACAATCTCCACAATCCGATCTAACCTACCCTAGCCTACCTAGCTGGCTGTTCCCTCCGGCGTGACATCGCCATCTCACTCCGTCAATCGGCTCCTTAGGTTTCACCGGACTCAACTCGCGACATCCAGTCAGACCGCATATGCAGATATCGAGGCTGGCTCCATGGAGGAGACGACGAGCTGCTGAGGCCCTGGAACGGGGCGATGATGAAATCAAGCCGAGTCAGAGATGGAGGTCTGGCGTGTGAGCAGCCCATCCGCCCGTGGTGGAGGTGGCATAGCCATGTATGTACCTTGTTGCTGCTGAAGCTGTGACGGCATGGGCTATAGGATACTGATCTGGACGGGAAATCGACGCCGTTGCCTCCAGTCATTTTCAACTTTTCTGGAGTTCGAGACTTATTCTGATTGAGAATGCGACTGGTTGTACTACTATTAGCGTGAGCTGGATTCCTACATACCCGATGTCGACGGGAATTTCCCCAAGTTCAACTTCCTCTCTTACTATTTTGCTAACCATTGTGGCTTGCATATGTGATCTAAATTACCCGGCTGACCCACACTCCGCAACCCCGTAATGGTCTCCTTCATACCAACTCCCGTCAGATACGGATCAGGTGAGAAACCTTCGCAGTTTCGACCTCCAGGTGCTACCCTGCCGAGTGGCCCGGAAACAGGTCCAAGAATAACATGAGCATCCTTGGCCCTGAACTGGGAGCCCTTCTGGACACCGCGCTGATACATCATGGACTTATCCCGTGAGGCAGCTGCAGACAGTCCGGCGGGAAAAGCACTGGCAAAATCCTGGGGACATGTCAGCCATCCTACCATCAGTTCTGGCAGCCTTTGAATGGCACACTTACTGCTTGGCGAATAGCTAAGGGACCATCTTGAGACATTATCTATCGAAGTTGAGGCGAGGAATAGGTGCAATATTGCCAATGCACGGTCTACCAAGCATTATTGAGCATCAAGGTACAGCCAACTGGTGATGGACTCCCTTACCCTCCGGTGCCAATCACTATACCGAATTTTTCATCAGTCGTGAGTTGGTCGGCAAACGCCTGAGCTTGTGCCAGGGCGGTCTCCCAGTCTCCAAGACCGGTAGTATTGGCTACGTATTGTCATAATTACCCGGGGAGTAATCGAGAAGTAATCATATGAGAAGGATAGACCTGGGGCGAAGTGTAATCTGGAGCTTGCGCCGCAGTGGATGAGACCAAGGCCAGAAGCAAGCTTCCAGCAGCTAGTACCGAATGGCAAGCCATACCGAGCCTTGACAGGATTTCCAGACTCGAGGGAAATGAGAAAGGGCCACGAAAGACCGGAAGAAAAGAGATAACAAGGAAACAGCAAGGAAGCATTTATATCCTTGCCATTTGAACTGGACATCCGTCGGCATCACTTTGGAGAAGTGTTGTCCCCATCGCTAACATCATGCGAACTTCTAGCTGGAGCTCCGAATGCAGCAGCATGAAGCTCAAAGCCGAGATGCAGCATTCCCCAATGAGACGATAGGATGCCGATGCCGAAGTCGCCACCTTTACCTTAATTTATACCGGCAAGTCAGGTCTCAGCGTCCTCGTCGTCGACCTGACTCGAGACTGAAGTAGTAGTGAGCTGACAGATCTCGAAGCATGCTTTGGATGAAAGGTTGAGGTCGCGTTTGCTGGATCGGCAATTGTCGAGGCAATGATGGAGAGGGACTTGGAGGGCTGGGGTCAAAAGGTTTTGGCCGTTTCCATTCATTTGACGGGAGATCAAAGTTGTCGCCGCAGAAGGAAGTCTCGTCGTCCTACCGTCAAGGAACAGATATGTGACACCACCCTTAGAAAAGATTGTTACGGCACAGTCGCCATTGCCTAGCCAGTAGCCAGTAGCCAGTAGCCAGTAGCCAGCAGCCTTTGTACTACGTTACTTAGTAGATAGTTCTTCTCGGTAGCTATCCTTTAGAAAATCTACACACACTCCTGCCACTGATCTTGAACAGCCCTCTATTGTGCTTCCGCCACAAAGATGGTGTATTGAGAAGCTCAGAGAAAGTGGTTGAACCCTATTGCTTCTGAAATAAGATCGAAGAATCTGCGACCAACCATGAATAGATGATATTGAGCTGAAAGGAGGCGGCACCGGAGACGTCAGAGTTTCGGAGCCTTGTAGCCGACTCTTAGCCGGACAAGCAGATAATTTATTTGCAGTGAAACCTTGGGTAAGCCTCAGCTAAACCGCAACGAACTCCGATGAGAACCCCTGCGCCCCCTGTTGCGGGATTTAATGTATGCGGCACCGTTTTCCTTAACACAGAAAAGGAGTAAAAAGATTGAATCACCAAAGCGCAAATAGGAATTGAGCCATTTCATTCTAACCTTCTCATCGACACCAGTCTCAAAGGACTAGTGTACCCTGCATATGTAAGGGGCACTCCCCTATAGTTCGACGCACTCGTAAATGTTACTCCGCTGTTGTCATGGGGTGATCTCAGGAGATTTCCAAAAGCGGTATCAGTCGCCAGCCGTGCTCAATTCATTATATGTAAGCAGAAATTCCTGGAGCCTAAGCATATCGTTTTCATACCCATCCTCTGGGAGATTGCCGGCAAGCTCCTCTCGGAAACACTCAAGATGTTTCGAGGTACCGAACGTCTGAACGGGAGACGGATCCTTATTTCCGGTCCCACCGTGTTAACCTGCCGCCCAAATAGAGAGGCTCAGGCGCATTCTTGAAGTCAGCAATTCCAGAATTCTCAGCTGCAAGTAGCGGCAAGGCTCGAGCTCAGGGCAATTTAGCCTACCAGGTACAGACAACGGATAAACTGTTCGACACACGTATGGGTGACGGGATAAGGTGAGAGTCTTGATGCGGGCCTTCAAACGTTATGCGCATCAGGAAGAAACCAGTTGTGTTAGACTTCTAACACCGCAATAGAGATTTCTCCACTAACTACTACGATTTGACTAGGCCTGGCCTCTTCCAGAATTCCAAAAGCGATATCAGCAATTTCCTTGTGAAGGATACTGCGTGACAATGGCGAATGATGTTGATGCTTATGGAATACAACTTTGCCTCAGTGGAGGACTACTGATGAGGGCAAGTTATGACTATGCAGCCCGTGTTCAGCATTTTTCTCAGCTCTCTTACGCACATATGATATCCAGGGAATCGATCAGAAACAGGGTCGACCTCTGTGATATGTTCAAGCCACAACAGTAGGTCGAGCTCCCATGGTCGCGTTGGAGAACCCTGCCTTTCGAAACGCAAACTCGTGGCACACCGAAACAATGTGTGTGCAAAGTGCCAGGGTGCGTTCCTAGACCCGGCGAATCTTACTTTGCCAGTAACCATGGGAATAGCGATCGAGAAGACTTGAAAGGGGCGTCCTCATTAGCCGGTTTCGATGAACCTCGTTTTGGGAAGAAGCAATGTCGTCCTGATCACCGTCCCTATGCTTCTGGAATGGCACATCATATTGGCCATCGATTCAGAGCTCACAAAGGACCACTAGCGCTACACGTCTCACTACCAAAATCTATGACCCGCACAATCGACCGTGACCCATGTTGGCACTATCAGCATCCTGATGACTTTATTGGCGTTGTTCATTGGGATCTCCATTTGCTTCTACCCATCGAGCGATGAGGCCGACGACGACGAGTCGAGACCAGCACTCCTGTGTGTGATGCTGATTGAGCACGCAGAAATTGCCGATAGTATTGCCTTCTGCATGCAGCTTTTGCCAAGGCCTACATCGCTACCGACTCGTGGAGAAGCACAGCATTGAAGTGGGGGCTTGTTAATCCTGTATGAGGGAAATGTCTTGCAGCTCTCCGTATATGGAACTGCCGATGATCACGCGTCCTTTCGCCAACCTCCCTTTCATTGTTTTTGTCGTCTCCTCGCCGTCTACTGGCTAGGAGGCGACGAGGAAGACACGCAAGTCTCTTGAGCACATTACGTAAGCTGACTAAAAGAACATGCAGGATACTTTTTATAATCATGGATGAAGACGGGGTTGAGGCGTCTGCCAACCAAAACAAAACTCATTGCAAGTCTGAGTTTACATATAATTTGTTGCCGCTATTGGCGGATGAAACCAGCATCATGCGATCTGAGCGAAGTTGCGCCTGCGAGTGATAAACAGACTTTTCAATGACGGGTACATATGATGGAAGCCGAGGTTCGATTGACCCCCTTATGCTCAATCGCCCAACGTGCCTTCGTCCCGTATGATATTACATTCCCAACGCGCAATCGAAAGCCCAGGTGAGCGCCACCGGAGAAATCGAGTCCCTTCAATCTTCCGGCACTTTGAAAGAAACCTTGATCCCATCCAAATCCGCCTTCGCCGCCTCATAATTCACCTCCTTCCACCTCTCCCATGCTGCCCGCTGCCTCTCCTCACTCAATCCTGCATACAACGTCATTTCCACCTCCCTCAGCTGCTTCAACCTCGTCAGCGGGCTAACGCAATGCTTCAAACAGTCCTCCACCCATGCGGCACTCACTGTCCCACCTGGCGACGCCAAGTAGCAAACCGGCTTGACGACTACGACTAGGCTCCTCAAGCTGGTCAGGTTCGAGGGGAGATCATTGCACAAAGCGGACAACTCATTGTCAAGCCACTGAGGCCCGCTCATGCCGCAGTATCTGATGGATTTGCTGGAGGGCTGGATATAAATAGTCAGCTTGAGGTGGCGGATCAAGTTCCAGTCCTGCCGCGGGATTATGGGGGGTCGGAGCCAGGGAAGCCAGCCGCAGAGGGGGATGGTGAAGGTGTTGGTAGTGAAGAAGAGGGGCCGGGCTTCGGTGTAGAGTTGACGGCAGACTCTGAGGAGGGAGGTATGACGGGCATTGGTTTCTTGTTCGTGTTCTCTGGAGTGCTGGGGTTCATTGGAGAGGATTCTGAGCGTTTCGAGTGTCGAGGAGAACGCTTGGTTGGGGGGTTGGTTTCGCTTTCGTGATAGGAGGAGAATGGGATGGGGGGAGTGCAGGACGTGGCTGAATATCTCTAAGCGTATCTCAGGTGGGAGGTTGAGGAAAGGTGGTGTGCAAAGAGATGTCATTGCCCGAATGCCGATGGTGATCCAGATGTCGGTATTTGATTTGGTAGCACAGAATCCTTTGGACGCAGAGGATTCCCTATATTGATGGAAGGTCGACAGAAAGACTATGCATGATGAAACATTTGCCTTCCGTTTTAGGCAAGTCTTATTCATGTTTGCTTAATGGGTGTAACCCGGTTGGTTAATTTCCGTATGGGCTGCGCCGCCAGTGTTGAATATGCCGGTTGAGAGGCTTGCAGCAGTCTATAGAATTAGTTCTAAATGTAAATGTCCTTGCGCCGCTAGTATAGGTTTAGCTGGGATAGTCAGGTAGCACAAACTGCCTGTACCTCGGTATATGGCTTTAAATTCTGCGGAATTTTCGTACTCGTGTTAAACAGCATCCGACTTGGGCATCTGGTGGGCAAGTAATGTTCTTGCTAGCTTCTTCGCGGATTATCCCAATCCTTTGAGCTCCCAGTCTCTCCATTGTTGAAGGGTCTTGGAGACAAGAACAGCCGATGTGTTCAGAAGCTTTGGATCTCACTATTTGCATCCTGGCAGAGGTATGTGGCCTAACATTGGTTGTAAGTCTCGCTGTCCTTCCTCTCTGGCTGACGTCTACAAAGCATCAGTCCACATTGCCCACAAGATCTTTGCTACCAAGTGGTGGCGAAGCAGGCAGTATGCCTCGGACATAGTGGCGTCAAGACCCATGTCAAAAGGTGAGTAGCATAGCCATAACGAATGAGTCATCCGAACCCTGCTAAATGAAGCCGTACTTTGGTGGTTTAGTAGCTTCAAATTGAAGTTGACACATTGTAACAAGGGAGGCGAAAGCGAATAGCATTTTGAGATACGTGCTGTTCAGGCACGGCCGGTACGCGCTTGCAGAGAATGACGATGGCCATATTGTGGTTTTTCCTCTGGCGCAAATCTGATCAGAGATTTGCCTGGTCTGCGCGCCGCAATGCCACTCGCTTTCTGAGCACATCTGGCGATGCAAGATGTTTCGAGGGATAGACACACTCTGCGTGGTTTACTCAGCAATGACCGGGGATGTCGGGTCTGTTTCAACATTTCAATATTTCAACAGAGGGGGGGAGGGAGGGGGATGTGTGCAGGGAAGCAGAAGTAATGGCTGCTTTACATTAAGATTGGCAGGAATCTTGGAACTTGCTTTTGCAACTCACTACTAGTAGTAGTAGTACTAGTAGTAGCCTGGCAAGGCTGGTAGTGCCAAGGCTGGTAGTGCCAAGGCTGTAAGGCTTCTTGGCGGGCTAGTGTCTGCAGGAACAACTTTTCAATCAGTCACTCGACGTGAAACAGAAATGGTTTTTCATCTCAATGCATCGTCCAGCTGTCAGGGATGCTACTTGATTGGACGAGAAGGGCACGCCATCAGAGGATCAGTCGCTTACTCTTTCCCTTTCCCTTTCCCTTTCCCTTTCCCTCAAGCAGACCTGTCGAAATTAGAAACACACTGCCATGATTTTCCTGGAACGCTCAGAACTCTTCAGTCACCAAACCATGGTCAACCTTATGCTTTTCGAAGTTAAGGAGGATCCTGTTCGCATGGATCAGGCAGCGATTGACCTTCTATTGGGCAATGGCACGAACCGCGGCATCGTCAGCCAATGGGCTGGTAACAGGTTTTCTCTTTTGCTACTCTACCCCAGCCCTGATCACGGCTGTTACTGCTCATTCGGGCCTGCCGCATAGTTTGGTCTCCTTACATTCTGCCTCGCTATTTGCTTTGCTCTGTGGAATATCGCCTCTCAAACCTTCATGCTGTCTAGCAATGCCTAAATCTTCTCCAGGAATGCTTTCTGCGGGGTCAGGGCAATGGCCCAAGCCATCAGGCCATCTCCTTGTGAGCTGCAGCAATGCTCGATTGTGGCACCGGCGACGCCATATCCTTCTAGAAGAATACTAGAAGGGACCACGACCCACGGTGTCTTACATGGCAGCTTCAGTGCCAATCGCATTATCCAGTGACGACGCTTCGATCATGCAGCGTTCAGATCATGGTCCTTCCTCATGCAGAATGCTCTGGAAGGAGGCTGATGACTTGACCTGCGGCTCGTGCCTCAATCCCGAGGCAGTGCAAAATCCCTTGATTAATATTTTTCATGAACCCAGCTCTGCTCATAAGCTCCTGATAGCTCGTAAGCTCATGATACGTGTTATCGGCGCAAGCCCCACACGGCATGAATCCCTCTCTCGCATCTAGCTATACTGGCTTCTATACCACTAACACGGCAGCCGCTTCAATATCGATTGAAGTACAGATAATTGCAACAGCAACTGTGACGTCCACGCCCACGTCCACGTCGACACCTCCAGCATGTACTCAACCAGCCAACAACACTCTTACCTGTTATCCGAGTTTCTATGCCATCCCAACGTGTGCAGTAAGTACAATCAGCCAAACAACAACACGGTCCCAGACTGATGGCAATCATATTCAGAGGGAATGCATTGCTATTGCGATTGAATGGCAACCGTGTTCATCGAGGGACCTCAGCTGTATTTGTGCTCACTCTCGTGACATCCAACTGCGAGCAATACCGTGTGGAGAGAACCAATGTTCGCAGGCAGAGCGTCAAAGTTGGTGCTCAACCATTCCGAAGCCGTTGAAAATTGCCAGACTGACCACTTCTACAGCAACCATTGACTATTACTTCAATTTCTGTGTGGACCACGGCTTCACTTTGCAAATTGAGTTCTCTTCGTCAATTTCACCATCTTCATCCTCCTCGCTGTCGCTTACAAATTCAACCACCACGAGTCGTCTCGCCACATCCAGCACATCCAGCGCATCCAGCGCATCCAGCGCATCTGCTACCGCGAGCCCAGTTCCGTCTTCATCCCCAGCTAATGCTGGAGCGATGGGGCTGTCTCAGGGCGCCATCATCGGCATAGCATTCGGAGGATTCGGTGCAATGACCATCATCCTCCTTATAGCCATCTTCTTCATCCTATTCCGTCAACGCGAAGGCAGACGAAGAAGGCAGCCCCCACCAACACAACCTGAAAAAAGAATGACCTTGAGTCACCCTTCGAAACGAGCAGCACCGCTCCAACCCTTGTCACCTACATACACACACTTCGCCGGTTCACCAGCCGCGTCAGTGCACATGCGCGCTACATCACTCTCCTCCCCGTCGGCACTAATAACACCGCTTCCCTCACCCGTGCTCCCGACCCTTCCACCACGCTCCCCGCTTCGAGATGCCCAACTATCCTTCCCCACCCCACCAGCAGCCACCACAACAGCACAACCGCCAGCATCGCCATTCCGCCATTCATCCGTTCAATCCAGAATCATCCACGACAGGCAGTATCGTTTCATCCACGAGATCGACGGCCGAAGTCTCCGCAATCAGGATGGCATGTGGAGCGATGACCCGATCGACGAGGGGGATAGTTTGTGGCGCGGTTATGAAGACCACTACGTGCACCACGAGCATGACAACGAAGACGGAGACGGTGCAGGAAGCTTTCCCCGGAGGAACAGCATTTCCTCGTCCGCCGTCCTGGAGGGAAGGACGGTCGTCTGATCTTTTTTCACCTGGATCCGGACGGAAACATCTCGCGGATAGAACCGCGGGGGGGAAGGGGATTTGATGCTTTCGATATGGACATAGATTCTTTCACTTTTCTTCTTTGCATCTACGTAGACCTTTGTTTGAGGTTTCTTGTTTTTTTTTTGTTTTTTTCAAAACCCCCCAATAGATAAGATTGGAGATGGATAGGGGGTGCTCAAAGGGAGCGCTTTTCATTCTGGTCGTCAGAGATTTATTTGGGGAGGGGAACGCACGTTTTAGAGTGCGCCGCACGCACGACTTGATTTTTGGCTCTATCTAGAGGGGGAGCACATGTTCACTGGTACTACTAGAGTAATATAGACGGATGCCATGCACCAGGGTACGGCAGCGATAATCAAGAACCCAACGATCGTCTACTTCACTTCACTCCCCCTCCCCTCTAACGTACATTCCTCCGTCCCTCCGTCCCTCCGT